AATAAATATATGGCATACGAATATTCATTAAAAACGAATAAGAAAATGAAAATGAATGGTAAGTTTTTTCAATTTCTAGTAAACTTTTTTTTTGTTTTGTTTTGTTGTTTCATTCATGTCTTGTTGTTGTTGTTGTTGTTGTTTATTTCTTTGTATGATGTCAAAATGAAAGTTCATGGAATTTTTATTCATTGATCTTGATATGAATATATAGTAAATAAAGAGATGAATAAATAAGTGAACGGAAAAAAAACTAGAAGAAAATAAACGACATTGGAATTTTTTTTTTTAAAGTTCAGTGTTGCCATACATTTTAGCATCGGGAAAAGATTTATTCCATCTGATTCTTGATACAATTCTTGTATTGAAAAGATTGCGAAATTTGTCATTTTCATTTTTCATTTCAACAAATCTTTTTTTTTCAATTTTGATGCGCATGATATAATGTTTGAAAATGAATAGTAGCAACAGAATAAATAGACAAGTGTGAATCATTTGATTTGAACACTCCAGTGTATTGTATCACATGAGAAAAAAAAAGACAAAATTCTATTCGAAATTTATTCAGTGCAACTAGAATTAGATTCAAAAGTCAGACTTTTTATCATTATCAATTGTAGTATTATTCTAATACTAATGATCAAGAATTGACAAACAAACAAACAAAAAAAAATTTGCCCAAAAATATGTCATAGATTTAGTCAAATGATCAATCACATAATGCATCATGAATTGAATTTTTTTTTTTTTTTTTTGGTTAAAGAATCAATTATGAATTCATTTGTACTGTATGGTAACAATAATTCTGACTGATTAATGAATCAAAATGTTGCTGTTGTTTTTTCGTTTTGTTTTGTATGAATGAAATCATTATAATTATATTGTTTTTCGTTATGTTTTTCACATCATCATCATTATTTTTCATTTAATTAGACTAATAGCTTCAAGCAATAACATTGACTAATTCGACATGAAAATTATCATTAACATATGAAATCAATGAAGTGAAAGTGATTATCATCATTTTGAATCATCATTATATATATAAAACAATACAATCATGTCATCAAAAACTAGTTCATCATCGACACTATTGATTGATAAACGAAAAAGAAAAATTATTCCATCCATCATTTTGACAATTATCATCATTTTTATTTTGGCTATTTATCATTCAGATTACATCGATAAATCTTTATCGTTGATATTTACAGTGAATTTTTTTCCATTCATTCACTGTCATCATCAATTGCCTGTGTCAAATGGATCAATGAATCATTATAATGAACAGCAACAACAACAACAACAATGGATAATCTCATCAATTATCGAAAATAATAACAATCCCATGATAAAAACAGGGTCAATTATTTTGAATAAAGATGAACAAAAAATCAATAAATCAATAATAAAATCAAATGGATTAAATCATCATCAACATCATCGAAAACGGCGACAACAAAAAGTTTCAACTAAAAAAATCAATGCTGAAACTTTGCAGCGACAAAGATATTCAAATTCGGTATGTTTATATCCAATTGATCAATCTCAATTTAAATAAATGATTCACTTGTTTGAATTTTTTTTCTACAAATTTGACTTTTTATACGATTGACTTGAAATTTTTTTCAAGGAATTTGAATAAATTTTCTCAATTCATTCATCTATCGACCATGGTGATGAATGAAAATGAAATTTTAACTTTCTTGTCTCGATTTTTTCTTTTTTTTAGTGGCCAAAAATGCATTTTAACATTATCTATGGCCATAATGATGAGCATGTGATTCTATTTAAAGGAAATCAGACCTTCCAGGCTTTTATTCAGCAGATGTTTTGTACGTGAGTGGCAAAAGTTTGAAAAAAATACAAAAATTCTGCTTTCTTATTCTATGAGTGTTTCTTGTGTTTTTGTTTCCGTTATTTGCCACTTATTTTCGTGTTTTTTTCATCATCATTTGCTCGTTTGTTTTATCATTCATATCAACATGATGGTCAAAACAACAACAACAAAAAAGAATGAATGTATTGAATGTATTGCGAAATAAAATGAGCAAAAAAAAATAATTGTAGAAAAGTGCTGGTTATGGCAGATATTTTTTTTTCTCGCTATAAATCAAAGAAGTTCGGGATGATTTGTGTATGTCGATGTGAACAGGAAATAAGCACAAGAATCGCTTTTTATTATTCTTCTTCTATCATCAGACCATTTATCGTCAACAACAATTTTGACGACAAGCTGAATAGAATCAGAATACACACACACACACACAAACATGGTTTTCAATCATTTTGATTATTGATAATAATGATGATTGATTTCATTTATCATCAGATACAAAAAAAATTTTTTTTTTTGAAACTTCATTCGATTTCATCGAAATCGATTATTGAAATTGATATACTTTTTTCAACGGCACGAAATCAATATATTCATTTTGTTTTCGGTGATAAATATATCATTCAACTGTTTCCATCTTTTTTTCTCATTGTAAAAAAAATGGAATGGAATCAAAATGAATGAAAAAAAAAAAAAAAAACTTTCAAATTATTCCATTCTTCACATGATTGACCATTTTCTATCATTCAATGAAGATAATAACTGATAATAAATTCACTTTATTCTGGTGTGTGTATCTGGGTTGTATCAAAAATTTCTTCTTTTTTTTTATTGGAATCGTATATTCTTATAGGAAATATTTGAATATTCTCCCACCTTTATTGAATGATTTTGTGTGTGTAGAATATTCTTTTTTTTATGTTGATGATGATGATTATACAAATTTATTGCCTACTCCATGCATGTGTGTTTGTTTGAATAGTTGATATGTAATTTGGTCTTCTTTTTTTTCTTGGCAGCTCATTTGACTTTATGCCTGTATGTTTTCATTTTTATTATTATTATTATTATTGTGATCTAGAATATTATTATTACCAATGAAGAGATGAAGAGAAATTCTTTCCAATATGGAAAAAAAACATTCGAAAACACCCTATATATATGTACAAAGGGGATACCATACATTGATAACTGAGAATAGCCATACTGCTGTATAATTATACACATGTTATTAGCAGATATGAAAAATGAGAAATAGTGAAAAAGTGGGTAGACGAAAAAAAAACCAAAAAAAAATCCACAAAATTCTTTTTCATATTCAATCTCCATATACATGATTATGATGTTCGTGTGTATGCGGCATAGAGAGAGAGCGAAAGGGGACAATGGGATTCTCGAAATATTATATGATGAAGAATAAAAGCAAAAAAAAAAAAATTTTTACGATCTGTCGATTTCTCATATTAACATATTAGAAAAAAAAACAATGCAAACAGCCTACCATTGAAAATAAAGGTCATTTTTCCAACTTTTTTTTAATTAAACTTTTTTTCTCTCATTTTTTTTCATGTTCAATTCATTGGAAAAAAAAAGAATTTCTTCTGGGCGTTTTCTATCGCTCTCACTCTCTATCTCAATTTCTTTTTCATTTGTTTTTTGCCCATTATCAGTGATAATAATATTGGAAAACCAGTGAAAACTAAAAATGCCTCGAGAATATTTTTTCATCCAGCTTTCAATTTTTAGCTTTTTTTTCCATTCGATTGTTTGTAAAAAGAATTTCGAATAATAATTTCAATGAATGATGACATGAAAAAACCTGAAGTTTTTTTCAATGTTATTCACAGTAATGTTTGTGTCTGCTTGTCGACCGATTCGATCCATTATTCATCGAATCCGATGTTCGTTGTTCGTTTATTCTTTTTTTTTAATTTTCAAAATATTTGCTTTTATCATTATTCGACAAGAAAAAAAAACTTTTCTTTTGTTTTTTTTTTCATCTCTATGTCATTACATTTTCTTGAATTCGTTGCAAAAAAAAATGAAAGAAAGAAAGATGAGAAATTCCTTGAAGAATTTTTTTTTCTGACATCACAGTGGTCTTTGCTGAATTAACATTTATGGATTGGTATGAAAAATATGGCCAGGAACTATACAGGAAAAATATTCCATGTTCTTCAGGGAAATACTATTTGAATGTTCTGTTTTCTATTTCCAACATTCACAATTTTTTTTATCCACTGTTAGAGTCATTTGAACAGTCAGATTTTATTTTTTAAAAAAAGTTTCTTTTTTCATATCCTATCCAATTTCTCTTTTCAGTAGCTTTTCATTTATTTCTTGTCATAAGATTTGTAACAGAAAATTGCAACAGTCTTCTTTTCTCGAGAGAGAAAACCATCATTTCTAATGGGATGTTAAAATGGAACCAATGTAGAGATATTCCTATTGACGAGTTCATTATTCACAGTTCCCTTTTTCCTCATAATCTGTTCATCTTGACTTGTCATCAACAATGTTTATTTGAATATATTGATGTTGTTGTTGTTTTTTTATTCTTGCAATCTGTTTTTCTTGTTTCTGCCTGTTTTTACCTATCGTTTTTCATTATTTATATATTGTCAACATATTCACAGAACATGGATGTCAATACAATAGATATGATGGATTTGATTCGATTAATCATCGATCGAATCAGTATAACTTGTCGTACAGAATGGGGAATTGAATTACCATTCGATATATATCGTTTAGATACCTGTGCTCGTTGTTATCATTATATGCCCGAAAATGTTTTCAAAGCTGGTGCTAAATTCAGGTGAATATAACAAATTGAATGGCAAATTAATAATTGATATCTAAATCATTTCTTCCTTTTTTTCTTTGGTTTATCGAATCAAATCAAAAAAAAACCACACAGTTACATGCAATTTGGTCATTTAATACATCCACATCATAATATAACATTAGCATCGAATGAAACGAAAAAACTATCACATACATTTCAATCAATTTCAATGATTTTAAAATGGCAACAATGTTGTTATGATGCTATTCTTTGCTGTATTAATTATTATCATAAATATCATCATGAATTTAATATGAAAACAACAACAATAACAAATCAGAATCAAACTATTGTCAATATTGATGATGATGGTGATCAATCATCATCAATGGATTCAACTAAACAAAATAATAACAATTTACATATAAATGAATGTCCACCAACATGGGATGGTTGGCTTTGTTGGGATGAATATGCAAAACCATCACAACAATTAGAACGTCCATGTCCAAAACATATATATTGGGATCAACATACACCACCATGTCGTGGTTATGTAACAAAATTATGTGACAAAAATGGCCATTGGTTTATGAATGATGATCATCGTGAATGGAGTAATTATACAATGTGTGCACGTGATGATGTATGTATATATTGTTATTATTCAATCAATCACTATTAAATAAAATGATGATGATGATATGATAGATTTATGCAGGAAGGATACGATATTCGTTAGTGACCAACATTATATCCATGTGTGCACTAATACCAGCATTATTTATTTTCAGCCATTACAAGTAAGTCTGTTTTTTTCAATGGTTGATGATCATTCTTCAATTCTTATTACCATATCATATAACCATTATTTGAATGAAAATATCTTGTATTTTATACCGCTAATTTTTTTTCCTCAAAAAAAACAAAAAAAAAACAGACAAGTTTCATCAATATCTCGTATACGATTACATAAACATTTATTTACATCATTACTATTTCATGCCATTATATCGGCATTATTAAAATGGCATCTGCTTGGCGGTTTACAATCCACTATTGAACCGGATGTTGATTTTTCAACAGTTGTTGTTGTTGTTGAAAATAATAGCACCATAATGATGAAAGAAACGGAAAAAATATCAACAACAACGATTGAATCTATGGCTGTAAATGATAATAATAATAATAATAATGATGGTGGTGGCGGTGAAAAAATGGCACTTATATCTTCATATCATCATAATCTACCTTCATTCTGTTTGATATTATCTATATTACAACGTTATTTTCGTTCAACCAATTATCTATGGATGTTCAATGAAGCTGTTTATCTACATCAATTAATTAAACATGCATTTGTACAGCCATCATTACGACCATTGATCATATTGGCTTATAGTCTACCATTCATAACAACAACATCGTATATTTTTGCCAGAGAATTTTTCCTACAACAAATAAATACAATTACAAATGAACAATCACAACAAATATCATTGACAAACAATATGACGAATAATTTTGCCACAATCGATAATGATGTTGTTCATTCATATACATCATCAATAAAATCATGGAAAAATTATCCAATAATCAGTCGTTATCAACAAGAACATTTGATTACAGTATTACTATCAATTGATGATAATATTCGACAGGATCTTGTTCAAGAATTGAATATTCAACATTTACATTTGAAAGATCCACAATTAGCATATGAATCTGTTTATAATCATCCTCATCATCATCATCATCATCAATATTTAGATCAATCATCATTGATTCAATATCTATTATTAAATCATCGTGATGTAGATGTATTTGCCGAACGTTATGTTTCCAATCTAGATTATGGAAAAAATATTCATCCAAAACATGATTATAATAATGTAAATGATAATAACCATTATGATGATGATAATCATTCCGAATCACTAACATTGGAAGAAGATAATCCAATAACAAAAGTGGATGACTGTTGGTTAACACCATCCAATCAACCATGGCATGAATGGATTATTAATGGACCAAATTTAGCCGTATTAATTGTAAGTGTATATATATAATATATACTTATATGAGGTTTTTTTTTTGCATATATGTATAATCGCTGACACACAAAAAAAAATCAAACGCATAAACACAGAAACAAACAAAACAAAATAAAAAAAAAAAAAACAAATTTATGACCAGAATTTTAATTTTGTTTTGTGCACTTATTCTGATTCTTGAATCAAAACAAAACATAAATGTCAGCAATAATTATAGCTTCATTGGAAAAAGAAATCTAGTAATCAAAATAAGAATAGAATCTTTTACGGGTAAATTTCGTGTTTGTGTGTGTGTATGCGTTTGGATATACAACAACAACAACAACAAACAAACAAACAATAACAAAAGTGAAGAAAGAAGGGAAAAATATCAATAAATCAACTCGATAAATCTGTCAGTTGTATAAATATCTATATATGAAACAAAACAAAAAAAAAAAATGTTTGCCATGATTTTTTTTTGTTTTCAGATCCAATGACAGCAATTTCCGTACATAAAACAAACGCATAGAAATAAAATTCACATATTCCAGGCGTTAAGTTTTTAGAATTTTTTTTTTTTTTTTTTTGCTGAATAAGTCATCCACCGAAGAAAGGCAAAAATCATCCCCCTTTTATTTTTCTTTATTGTTGATGTTTATCACATCATTTACATCATGATATACACTATATTTGATGATGATGATGATGATGAGAAGATCCACTTGAGAGGATTTTTTTTTTTGTATCAAAATAAAATGTTGAATTCTTGAGAAAATTCTGCACGCAAAATAATAAGGAATTTAATTTTGAAAAAAAAATTTTGCGGCATGTGATTTTTAGAATTCTTGGTTGAATGGCCATTTATCATTATCGTGTGGAAAAACTGTCAAATCGTTAATCATCAGTATGAACAAATGTGTATCAGAAAAAAAAAATTTCAATCATTTTCATTCATCTTAATGGAAAAATTATTCACAAAAAAAAATTTCAATATATCCATTTTGTTTGATCAAAAAATTGAAAACGATTTGTTTGAATACATCACTATTATATTTGTTTATGTCAATACAACAAAAAATCTTAAAATTTCTTGCGCATAGACATCTTCAAGAGACCAACCGCTGATTATGAACACTTTTCATTTTTAATTTCATTTCATTTCATTTCATTTCATACATACATATATGAAAATTAAATTACAAAAACAAAAACAAAATAAAAATCTAACATTTCTGGTTTGTTTCTATTTTTTTTTTGTTCTCTTAAAATTTTCTTTAGATAAATTGTTTCTTCTTAATTTGGTTATTGCGTGTACTTTGTATAAAAGCGGCTGCTACATCCATTATGGTTTCAACATCACCACCACCAGTACCACCCCCACTACCAGTATCCGCTTCATCTTCACGTCGTGGTTTTCTTCATAATAATAGCAATAACCTAAATAATAAAATTGATACATCATCGACTGGTTTTCATCATCATCATCATCATTCATCATCATCATCATCATCACCACCATTGGCAATGGAAAATAATGATAATAACAACAACAACAACAACGATGATGATGATGATGATGATGGTGATTCTTGTACAACAAAATTACAACGTTGTTTTCAACGTACATCATCGATACATTCGTCCATAACATCACAACAACCACCTACACAACCACAACCACCGCCACAGCCACCGCAACCGCCACCACCACCATCATCATCATCATCAATATCAAGATATAATCGTACATCATCAACATTATTCAATAGGCAATCATTTTTAGTATCACTTCGTGCTGCTGTATTATTATTACCATTATATGGTCTCCATTATCTATTTATTGTATATCGGCCAAAAATTGAGTATGATGATAATTTCAAAAATTTTTTTTTTCATTTATATTCGTTGTTTCTTTTTTTTTTTATTCATTCAACAAACAAACAAAAAAAAATATTGATGATAGAAATTGTTGGCTTTCCGAAACTTATCACTATTTATCACTTAGCTTTGATGGCCTACAAGGATTGATGGTTTCAATTATTTTCTGTTTTGCCAATAGTGAAGTATGTAATATGATTGTATTCATATTCTTTTGATCATTTCACATTTTTTTACATTTATTATTTTTTAGATACGAAATCTACTCACACGATCATTTCAACGTGTCAGTAATCGTCAACGTAGTGTCACCATTTACATGAGTGATATTGGACAAATAAATGGAAATCGTGACTGAATGAATAAAATTAATTTATCGATAAAAGAATTTCGATTGGTGGCTACACACACACACACACACCACACACCAGCACCACAATTCTGCAAAAATCATACACCGAATGTGTCAAGACTGATAAATAAAAAAAAAAAAAAAGATTTGACACTTTTTTTTTCTTGAAAAGTTGTCAACAAGTTGTGATAATGAATAGCCACTATATATATGTATATGGCCAATGAATATAATAAGATTATTATTTGAATATATATCGAACCCCTGTTTATTAAACAAACACATGTCAACAGCGATGAAAATGCGGACCAAAAAAAAAAAAAAAAATTCGTTTTCGACATTTTTTTTAATTCCCAAATTGTAAACATCATTTGATGCAAACATATTTACCCGTTTCGCTGCCTCTCCATGGTGGTCAGCGATAAATTCAAAATGTTTTTTTATTATTATTGAAAATAACATTGAATTTTATTTGTTCAATATGAAAATTGGATTTTTTTTTTACTGTTTTTTTTTCATTCAATTGAAAATAAAAATAGCCAAGATTTTTTTTTCTGTCACTGTGTATGTTCGCTGAGTATGTGTGTGTGTGTGGTTTAAGTGTTTTTGATGTGTTTTCAATGATAATTTTTTTTTAAAAAAACAAAAATTCTGTTTGTGTGTAGTAATGTGTAGTGTTGTGTATTGAAAAATCGGTAAATAGAAAATTTTACACGCTTCATTAGCCTAAAAAAAAGAATCAAGAAAAAAGAATTTGAATATAATAAATCGGATGGTGATGACAATGTTTTACTTGTGTATTTTTTTTTTTGTGGTTGTAATCTTTCATTCTAAATTCATATTTTTTTTTGTTTTTCATCATCATCATCATCATCTTTAAAAATTAGTGTGAAAAAAATTCAATAATAATTGGCCATATTGATTCAAGTTTTTTTTTCTAATAACGAGAATTTGTAACTGTTTTCCGATTTTGTTTCGATACAACAGCATCAGTTGTTGCCATAGCTGCTGAATGTGATGTTGAAGATGCTGTAGGCAATGATGATGATGATGACGACGACGACGACGACGACGATGATGTTGAATCCTGTGGTGAATTCATTGTTTGAACATTTCCCATTGATGAAGATAAATTATTGATCAATGTCTTCGTCGTTGAAATTATTATATTGTTTATGGTCGTTGTCTGTGCTGTTACTGTTGTTGTTGGTGTTGGTGGCGGTGGCTGTGGTGGAACTGGTGATGATCGTGAACCAGCCTGTGATGACGATGATGTTGTTGGTGATGATAATGTTGCCATCGTTGAATGCGGTGATGATTCTTTCGATGTATTATTACTACTATTTTTACTATTATTTGTATTGTTGTTCGATGTTGTTGCTGTTGTTGTTGTTGTTGTTGTCTTATTATTATTCTGGTTCATCATTATATTCGATGTTTGACCATAACTAGCCAACGTATATGGGTCTTTATTTTGATCACGCCAAAATTTTTCAACCTAATTTCAATTTGTAAATTAATCGATTATTTAAAAAAAAACTTATTATGAATGAATTGATTTACCAATTGTCGAGCATATTTAACCGCTTCAGTGGCCATAGGACCAGCCGTTTTATTTGGAAATACAACTGCCTGTACACAATCGGCACTGAATGGTGGCATTATTTTTGTATTCTTTTTGATCACTATACAATGTCCTTTATTATCATGAAATGATTCTAATGTAACCGAACCACCACTGGAATTTTTTTTTTTTTTTTGTTATTAAATTCAATTTTTTCTTAATGGTTAACATATGAAACTTACATTGTTTTTATCAACGACAAATATAATGATATACCATCGGAACTGACACCAGATTTATATGCTTCAATTAAATTGTTACGTTCTTTCAAAGCCGATTTGACTCTTTCTTCAAGCTATATAACAATAGAAAATATATTTAAAAAAAAAACAGATTAAATTCAATGGAATCATATGAAAATATGATAAAACCAACCTTATTCGTATTCATATCAGGAAGATTTACATTTGTATTCGATGTTGATTCAGGCATTTCTTTAATAACATCAATATGTACACAAAATTCCAGATTGATACATGCAATGTTACAGGTTGGTGGTGTTGATGATGGAATTTCTATTCAATTATTGAAAAGAAATTATTAATATATATATAAAACGAATTTGATTACAAATATTCATACAACTTACTTAGAACCAGAATTTTATTGTCATATTCAAATGCCATCACTTCACCGGTAATGTTCTCATTATAACATGTTTTACATTGAACAATAGAACCAACATTTAGAACCATAATATCATTGTTCAATATTCGATCGGTAGACAATATGGCTGCCATCTTTTCAATGTTGTTTCAATCTTGATGTTTATATCGTATTATTATTATTATTCTGAATTGGAAAATGAAATCGATCGAAAAAAATGATGACGATGACATTAATTCAACAAATGATTGTGGAAAAAATTTCACTATGGAGATAATAAAGAAAAATTAATTAATTTTCAAAATTCAATTCAAACATTTATATTACATACCAGTTTGTTCTCTTTACTTTTTTTTTTTTTTCTGGTTAAAAAATATTTTTGCAAAACTAAAATCTTCTAACTAAATTTAGAGCAAAAGTGCGTTTTAAATTCCTGATATATTAGCTATAATCCTAATATATATTGTATTGAATATAATTATGTTAACAATACTTGACGATAATGGATAGAAATTAATAATAATGATGATTTATAATATGGAACACTGGAAAAAAATTGCATTCATCAATGTAATAATAATAAATCAAACATGTGGTTCATCATCATCATAGTCAGATGCAACACATCGATAACAATCAAGTAACAAACAATTATCGATTAATGAATAAATGCTAAACAAATTCTTAACTGATTCAGAGAAAAAAAAATCACCATGTTTAGGTCAAAGTTATTCGATTGAATATGATGATTTCTATTTATGATAATCAACGGAAATGATAATAAAATTTCATTCCAAAACATACAATCAATACCATCGATTGTTGCCAATATTGAATGGTGATCGATAATGATGAGGATTTAATTAAATTTTAAAGATTTTGAATTTTTTTTGTTTTTGCATTTAAACCACAACATTAAAAATGAAACATTTGGCCGGATTATGATATGGGATAAGCCAACTGCTGACACCACACACACATACACAAACACACCGAAGAAGCAAGCACACACACACGACTCGTTTTTTTCATTAGCACACACACACATTGTGATTGATTATGAGACGCTTGCGCTCTAATACAAATCATTATCGGATACCAGTGACATCTATCATCGAAGATTAGATTTAATTTCCAAAAAAAAAAAAAATTATCATCTATTTTACATTTTTTTCCACTAAAAATAAAATTAAAAAAATTTATCACAAATGTTTCATGGATCATTTCAATGTTCATGATGATTGATGAAGCCATTCTTTTTTTTAAGATTATTATTGTTAGTCGTTGTTATTGTTGTAATATCGTTTTTTTTGCCATTTCCATTCATTTGTTGATATTCATCATGTTTGTCTCGATTTTTTGATTCAGATTTCAATATTAATGGCACAATTAACCAGGCAAAAATAGCTACTAAATGACCAGACCAATAGATGGATTGATAAACAAGAATTGATTGATGAAGACTAAGTAAAACAAATGGGAAGGCAAAATAAGCAATCATTATACGTGTGATTAACCATGTTAAACAATGGTAACCATTCAAAAAGTGTTTGGAATGAACAAAACGATATCGAATACATTTTCGCATCGTTTTTGATACAGCCATAAATAGACCGGCAGTAGCAAATGTAAGATAATAACCGGGATAGAATCCATGCCAAAATGCTGATAACGCAAAGGTAGCCATTGCACTGTAACGTTTAGGCACACGAATATGGACGGCAGCACGAAGCCATCTAACAGTCGATATATTCCATGCTGCAATTGCATCATGTTGTGATAAGGACATTTCGAAATCATATATACGAATATTTGTTGCTAAATCATATATTGGTTGATTATCTGTACCAGTTAATGTGGTGAATCCTAAACCCGAAGCATTACAAACAGATTCGGCCATTTTCCATGCAAAATAATATTTAATTCGGGCACCGGTTGTCACCAGATAGATAATTAAAATTTTATAGACAAAATTTGCTTGCATAAATTTCTCATCTATAGTTATTGAATTAAAAAAAAAAAAATAATTAAAATGAAATAATCGGATATATCAGACAAAAATAAATAAATCAAACCTTGTAAAAAGGAAATGGGAAAAAGTGGAACAAATTTCATTGTGAGTATTGCACAAATTGAACACGTTAACAATGATTTCCAAATAGTTTTCTATATCATTTAACATGAAAAAAAAAAATACACAAACAAACAAAAACCGATAGGTTAATTATTTTTGTTTGCATGAGGAAATCAATATAATAATATACACATACGGCAACTGGTGGGAAATGATGAAGGCCATATTTTTTGATTGTATTTCCATCCAAATAATCATGATAATCATTATAAAAAATCATTGGACCACAAAGTATTGTTTGAAAATCAAATACATATGAACAATATTGTAGTAATGATGGTTTTTGTCGTATTGAATATTTTTTCCGTTCATGATTTATGATCTGATTTGTTGTTGTATCAATTAGCCAACCATCATGTAATGAAAAAGCAATTAATGTAATTTTTTGTACCAAAATCATTATCGGTCTAAGTTGAATGAGAAAAAAAAATTTTTTAAATCAAATCAATAACGAATATGAATAAAACTTACGCTGAAATGTCCATTTGATATGTACCGGCAAAATCACCAAATACAAGACGATGTGTATGGATGGCGGATAAATAAATCATGGCCAAAAAAAATGTCATTAAATGTATCCATTTGTAATCAAATATGTACAATAATAAGTAACTGGTTAAACTTAACAAAATAAGATGAAATATTTGGCTATGTGAAAATGAAATGAATTTTAATCAAAAAAAACATAAAAAACATAATCAATTATTATCAATTGACTTACTTTCCAAAACAAAACCATGAAAATATTAAACCAGGTACAATGGTAAAAAAATGGATAAAATTTTTCGTTATAATCGATTGTTTTTGATGAATATGATTAATAAGAATTTGACGAAATATGAATGCATATGTGAATGATAATAATTGTGAACAAATAAAATTGGCCTAAATTTTAATCAAATTTCGATTGATGAAAAATAATTCTTTTTTCATTCATTCATTATACACTATTCTTACTTGGTCCTGAGGTATAATATCGAAAAATGTAATCATTTTTGTCTATTTTTTTCGTTGTTGTTGTTTAATCACAAATTTTTTTTTTTTTCGTTAGATATGTTTCATTATGAAATGAAGACTATTTCCATAAACTTATAAGATCAACAATTTTATCAACAGCGATGGTGTGTGTGTTGACGATGTTGATTGTTTTGTTGATAATAAAATGATGATGATGACGACGGTGATGATGATGATGATGAAATATAGAAAAAATATTGCATTGACAGTCATTCAAATAAAATATAATCATCAGTTTGATTTATTTATGTCCGTTATATTGATTTCGATGGTGATGATTATTATGAGAATTGAAAATTAGAAACAGTATACAAATGCTTACTGCAGTACAGTGCTTATTTTTTTTTCTTTGTTCTGAGCAAAAAAAAAGGGTTTTTGTGTTGATTTTCGAAAGAAATGAATGGGGAAAAAAGACAAGAAAAATAATTTCCTTTTTTTTCACTATAGAAATAAAAAGAAAAAAAAAATGAAATTGAATGTACAAAATGATGCAAACAAAAAAAAATTCAGCAATCAATATATATGCACATATATGTTGTCTATTTAAATATATTGGCATCTAATATGTTAATCGGTTATTGATTATCGTTCGATTTTACAGATTATATTAGTATAGTATATATAATAGTTAAACATGGGAAAAATCTGTGTATACAATTTGCCATGACTAAACGATTTTGTTGATAATAATGATGATATATTGATGATGACAGTTGAATTTTTTTTTAACAATAATCAACAAACAAAAATGCAATGATCATCATAAATAAATTGGTGGCAGTAGCAGATATTTTGTGGCAGTAGCATTTTATTCATTGATATAATATCGATTGTCGGTTGAATGGTTGCTTCTTTCAAGTTATTTGATGATTTTTTTTTCGCTTTCAGTATATCGTCTTCGAACATGATGATCGATCGTTTGGATGGCAAACACACATAAATTCCAAATGTAAATAGGCTAAAAATAACAAACTAATATGTATGTATGAGCAAAATTAATTGATTGATTTTTTTTGCGTATTAAATTTTCAAAAAATTCCAGGTTTTTTGAATCCATGTTTTTTTCAACAGATTGAAATAGCTTGTTGAATGTAAATATATTTAGCCACCACATGAATTCAAGCTATTCAAGCTTGAATGGTTATATACAGTAATACCCCGCTTAACGCTGCCCAGTTTAGCGCTGATTCGATATAACGCTGTACAATTACCCTACATTACATTACATTGTTACATTGTATATGAAGGGTAAAAATGCATTATGTAAAAATAGCCCCGCTTAGCGCTGCTTCAGAATTTTTGTAATGTAACCCCCGCGTTAAGCGGGGTATTACTGTAAATATAAATACAGCCACAACAACAACAATAGGTAGAAGACATTCATAGAAGATGTAATAATGGAATTTAATTTTTTAAATTCTGTTTTTTTTTATCGCTCTTTTAGATCCAAAAATGACAAATTTGACCTTAGATTTTAATTGAATGAAATGAAAAACAAAAAATGGCCATTTTAATTACACAGTGTGAATTATTTTTTCTTCTTCACATTGATCATGTGACGCAATACGAATTTTTTTTTAAAGCAACAACAACAAAAACTAAAATAGCACATTTATGGCCATAAAAAACTAGATTACAGCGATAAATATCAATTTTGGCTGAAAATACTGAATAAATTATATTCATTTGATTTGATTTGATTTGATTTGTTGATGAAAAATGAAAAATTATGATCCATTTGTATCATCCATCTATGGGCAACTCTTTTTTTTAATTTTTTTTTTAATTTTGCCTCATTTTTTCGATTCCATTATGAATGAACAAGAACATATTGAACGATACTTTGATGATGATGATGATGATAAAATTTTTTCCATTCATTCATTCATTCATTTTGGTTTAATTTATTCATTCATTACAGAGTAATGACAGGTAAACGAGGAAAAAAAAAGAAGAAGAAGCTAAGGACAAGGACCAATGAAGAAAAAAAAAGAAAGAAACGATTAATGAATGAACAAAATGTCAATGTCAATGAAATTATGTTTGACAATATGTATGGCCTTCAACTTTTTTTTTTCTTTTTTTTTTTTTTTTTTGATTAAAAGTTCCAGAAAATTTTTGTTTCTTTTTCATTGATACAATGTTTTTAATTTGTATATTTGAATCTGAATGAATGATTCTAAAAATAACCAATTTTTGTAAAATCAATCATTATTGATTAAAATGACAATCATTCATCGATGAATAATATTGTATAATAGAATGTTTTCAATGAAATCATCAAATTTCATTTGATTATTAGATATCATCATAAAAAATATAATTATTATATCCGACTTGTGTCGGTGTGTCGGCGTGTCGGTGTGTTAGTAATAAAATCGTCAACAAAACAAGGCCTTATGAAATCTGAAATGAAACTTGTCTAAATGAAAATAAATAGTGAACAGAGAAACAGAGAAACGATTAGCAATTTTATCCATTGTTCCATTGTTGAAACAAACACTATATATATGTTTAATATACATAGCAGAGGTCGCCACTTGTCATTGATAAAAACGTCGTTTCAATTGGATCGAACATTGAACATCTAAATGAACAAAAAAAAAAAAAAAAAGGTCATAATAATTGTATATATATTTTTCATTTAAAATTGACAGAATAATGATGAAAATAAAGTTATCTTTTCTTTTTTTTTTTTTTTGCTTCATTCGTTAAATTAAGATCCAATTTCGTTTCTTTTCGTTTGCTTGTAGTTTTCAAATTGTTTTTTTTTTTGCTTGCTTGTTTGTTTGTTTGTTCTGATTTATCCACATCGCCACACAAAACAATTTCTAACGTATGCATATATATGTGTGTTCCAATCATAATGCGTTCATTGATCTTTTACGAAATGTTGATGGAACACATTTTTTTTTTTTGGAATGGAAATAAAACAACAAAAATACTTTACCACTTCCAAAAACAGTGGCCATTTTAATTTTTTGTGAGAGAAAATGAAATGGATAGAAAAAAAAATTATTATTATTACAAAGTTCCAATATATGGCCAAGGTTTCAAGATCATTGAAACATTCATAATTTTTTTTTTTTTTTTTTTGATCCATATCGTTTGTTTGTTTGTTTTTTTTGCTGGTTTTTTATCATTTTTTTTTATTTGATGGAAAAATTTTTCCATCTGGTTCAAAGTTTATTATTATTGGTAGCCACAAACAAATAAAAATTTGTTTGCAATGAAAAAAAAAAAAAAAAAAATTTTTCCAAGTGGTTTCAAAGTGGACATTATCATTCATTGACCGATTCGACAAAGAAACCTTTTCACATGATCAAATAGATAGGGTCAAAGACCATAATAATATATAAATTGCCATTATTTAAAAAAAAAAAATGTCCAATCAAATGTTGTTGTTGTTGTTGTTGTTGTTGTTGCTATGACAAAATAAACCCCTATGCCTTTGATAAATTGGTCTGTACACATTGGACAACTTACAATTTGAAATGGATGGATATTATTTCTAGAATAATAATATGGATTGATAAAATCTTTGATTCACATCAAAAAAAAAAAAAAAAAAATTCATTTTTCTGAAAAATTTTTCAAACATTTAGTACATTCATGTTATTTATCAGATAACTGACAAAAAAAAAATTCCCGAAAAAAGCAATACATGTATACATCTGCCAATCTAATATATCAATATTAAATAGAACTCTCTTACAACAACAACAACAACAATGAAAATGCAATGCTGCCATTTACATCATTTTTAGGGTCATCCATACTATTTTCTATAGAAAAAAAAATTCATGTATCGAAATCAATGAAAATAAAGAGACGATAATATTTGGCCATGAGCAAGAAAAAAAGTGAAAGAAAGAAAAATATAAAGAGAGAATGAGAGAGAAAGCTCGTTAATGAGATATATTTAATGCCATTGAACATCGAATTCGATCATCACAATCGATCTGGACGAGAACAGTTCGTGTATCGTGGTTCATAGACGACATCTTTTTCTTTTATCAATTTTTTGATTTGTGTTTAAAATCATCTTTACCCGTGATTATTGGTTCTATATTCTGTTGATTTTTTTGTTTTATATTCTGTTTCATCAATAATCGAAATAAATAATGGCTACATCAGATTTTGAATCACAACTACGACAATTGGTTGCACAATCTAAACCATATGTTGGTAAAGAAATTGCTGAATTAGAAAGTAATGTCATTCAAGGTTGGCTACAAGAAGAACAGAAAAAAGTGAATAAATTGTATCAACAAATTGATCGTATTTGTCGTTTACATGGTTCATCATTGCCAGCAAAATTATTCAATGAATCACGTGATACAGTGGAAAAATTGGAAGAATATATTTTCAAACTTAAAGATGCACTTTATGATTTGAAATTTGTTGGTGGTTGTCAACGTTAAATATTCCATTGGATGGCTTCAATTGGACCGAACAAATGACCTTGTACCCCCCTTTTTGGATTATTGGATTATCTCGATACACCAACACACCCACACACATACACAAATGAAAAATATGTCTATGAAATTTAAAATGAATTTTTAAGAAAAATTTTTTTTTTTTTTTTTTTGAAACAATAGAATAGACAAATCTTGTACACACACACACACTCGCAGTTAATGGGTTAGCCTAATTCACGAAGGTCAATATCATATATGATCAAATGATACATTGTAAATCTTTTTTTTAACAAAAAAAAAATGAATAAAATTTGTACAAAAAAAATTGCTTAAATTTTTTTTTCAGGATTGCCGTTTTTTTGTGAAATTACAACAATTAAAGATTTCGAAATTTCAATTTGAAATGTGTTGTTTACAGCAGTTTTTTTTTCTAAAATTACACATATGTAATGAATAATATTAATTTGAATTTAATTCAATCAATCAGATGTGATTGCAACTTTTGAATAAAATTGTGAAAATTATTCATGAATATAATATAATGGTTGTTGAAGATGTTGGACTTGTTGAATATTTAAATCTCAGATTTGCAATAATTACCAACAAGCCAACATGATTCAAACAAAATGAACTATGGATCATCCATATCAGTTCCAGATGATGGTCAGAAAACTAGTTTTAAAATATAAGATAAAAATTCATTTGATCAAATGTTGATTGCTAATTTTATCGTAGAAAACTGGTTCTAAAAAAAAAAAAAAAAATAAAAATGAAAAATTCAATTTAGATATGACAATATTTTCACTTTCATTGGATATTGGATTTATTAAAGTTTAAACTGGTTACTGTCATCTTGTTCAAGTGTCCGAAGAGATTTCCAGTTTCTTTTTGCAAATCAAAATATTTGGTATTTGTAAAAAATTTTTCTGTAAAGTATTTAAACACGTTGAAAATGGATGAATTTGGATTCACAAATTCTAGTTTTAAATAAATAACGTGTGTTTGTATGTTGTTTTTGGTTTTTTTTTTGTTTTTCAACTTTGTTTCAACATTTGAAACACAATTTCATCATCATCAGAGTAATCATGTCTCTGTCTTTGATCAATATTGAATCTGAACTTCGACAATTAATGTCTAAATCACAGCCATATATGGCCAAAGAAATTATCGCACAACATAGTACAACAATGCGTGGCTGGATCCAAGATGAACAACAAATTGTTAATAAATTGTATCAACAAATGGAACGCATCATACGTTTACATGGTACAATGTTACCAGCAAAATTATTCAATGATTCTCGTGAATGTTTGGAACAATTGGAAGATTATATTTTTCGTCTCAAAGATGCAATGTTTCATTTGAGCCGTATTGCTGGCCGTTAATCAAATGAATCGATCGATCATATAGACAAAACAATCCATATTCATAGATTCCATTTGTTGCTGATATCACCGAAATTTGTTGCTGATATCCTACTCTTGTCACTTGTTTACTTGTACACACACACACACACACAGTGAATTTTTCTCATCCATTTTTGACACAAAAGTTTACGAATTTAATCAAATCAAAATTTGTTTTTATTTGTGTATAATTAAAAATCAATTATCCATAAATTTTAAAATGAAATAAAAAAAAATCATATTTTACAATTTCAAGGATTTTTTTCATTTTTTGTTTCTAGTTTGATGATTTGTGAAACATTTTTTTTTTTAAACTATAGTTAAAATCAAAACACAAGCAGATTTAATAATGACTGAGTCGCTTTCTGATTTGTATATTGATGGGAATAGAAGAGAAAAAAAACTTGTTTGTTATCGATTTAACAAAACCTGATGCCATTTTTTTTTGACTTGTTGCCGTGGTTGTTGTCGTTGCCAGGAAAAGTCATCATGATTTTATGACTCATTTTTTCGCAGGGCAATATACGGAAATAACCAAAACTTATACTTAATGTTTTAAGAGACAAACATAATCAGATCCGGAAATCAAACCACATCACTACAACATTTTATTTATCGATTGATAGATAATTTTCAACAGGTTTTTATGTTAATGTTATCATTAAAATAAATTGTCGATAAAATTATCCTGAATGATGAGCGAATGAATTTTGCGTCAAATTTATTTTTCCCATTATGGATGAAAAATTTTTAAAATTAAATATAATAAAATACATGTGTTTTATTGAACATTTAGAAATTCAAATATTCGTGAAGTGTGTAGTGTGAGTTTTGTGGTGAAGAATAATTTATGCTTTTTGACAGGCAACAGGTACCTGAAGTGTTAAAGCTAATTCGGCTGGTTTTTTGCCGAAAATTTCCAACACACGATATTGTGATTGTTCAACAAGTCGTTGTGCTGATACCGATTGTGTAGGAAGACAATGGAATTGCAATAATTGTGGTCGCATTTCAGTTGGACGAGATTTGCCTTCAATACAGGCAAGAACTGGCTGCATTGAGAAACAATATCGATCACCATGTCTGATTGCAATTGTTCGATAACGTTGAATTTCATCTTTAATTGATTTAGTTTCACTTTCTGTAGCGGCATTTTTTTGTTGTTGATGTTGTCGTGCTAAGGCTTGTTCTAAAAGTTTTTGCTGTGCACGGGCCATTTCTTCCTGTTGTGATCGTCGTTCAATCTGGCTCATTCGATTTGTTTTCTGTTGAGCTTTGTATTCACCAATCATTCGGGCAAGTGATCGATAACCTGGCGATACGTATTTGTTGATTGTGGCTTCTTTTTTGGCACAAATTTTTACACCTTTAGTTCTTGGTGAGCGCTGACAATGTTGACCAGCCATACCATAACTATTGATGAAATCCTCGCTATTCTGATATTGACAGGTATCAGGTCCGGTAAATTCGTTATCGGATTCATGATTATTATCACCACAGATACCACAGGTTTCACCTTTGTATTGTTGACCAACTTTAACTTCAATATTTTTACCATCATATACAACGCTAAAATCATGTTGTTGGTGTTCCAAAACGACCATTGGTGATGATGTTGGCGAGCTAGTTTCACGAACATAGATGGTCATTTTTTTATCCGACATAACTAAAGCTTTAGAAACAGTCAATTCTTTCACTTCGCCATCAACACGGATTTGTGCCGAATTTTCACTGGTCGGTGGTGTCAATACAATTTCTTTACCATCAACATAAATAGTGGCTTCTTTCGTTTTTGCTTCGGTATCCAATTGTCGAGCTAAGATTGAGAATCGTTCGGATGATGAACAATCTTTTGCTAATAAATATTGACATGTTGAATCGGGCAATTCAATGCTAACATTATCGAATGTACGGATGTAATCTTCCATCATTGAACAACGGCCAGTACTTTCGTATGCGGTCAACAAGTTTTTGTACACTTGTACTGTTGAATACAAAGCAGAAACCTAATGAGATGATTAAAAATGAATATATTTTGTTCAATTAAATAATCAAACAACTTACCGGTCGGAAATATGGAGTGTAGACTTTTTCGAAACATACATTCTGTTTGTGTGTCTTAAAATCAACATTGACCATTGGAGCGTTGGCAAATCTGGTCGAATATTGAACGGTAACTTTCATTTTACCAGCTTCATTTTCGACCATTTGATTTTCATCTAAATGGCTATAATAGGCAACTTTAGCTGCTGTAGCTAGTTTGTTGGTCAAATTGAAAACTTCATCCGGAATATCATCATATTCAATGTCAAGTGTTAATTGTTTGAAATATGAATCTTCAACCAATGCACGTTGGCAAGCAGAGCTTGCGGTTTTACCATCAGCACGATCAATCTGACATTGTTGATAGAACCAATCTTTTTGTGCTGGTCCACGAGTTTCTTGTGTGCTTTCGAGATCACGTTCCGAAATCACTTTCTCTTCACCGGTTTCCATATGACCAGATATTTGTACACGGCTGCCAGTTTGACAATCATGACCAAAATTAAGTTGAGCTTTGATTGATGCTTTCATTTCTTGATTAGCAATTGGTTCATAATAGAATTCACTTGGTTGTTTTGGGAATGCAACATATGAATCGAAGCAAACATTCTTTTGTGATTCTTTGGTTTCCGATTCGGTTTCCAATGATTTGGCAACAGCACGAACATTAGTCCAATAGTTTTTCAAATCATAGGTATGAGCCAATAAAAATTTTGCGGCAAAACTGGTAGCCTTTGCGCTTTGTGTTTGAGCTTTAACTTCAACACAATGAGCTTCAATATCGGTTTTATCCGAAACTGAATATTCAGAACCGGATGCTACTTTGTTCCATTTTTGTATCATATTTTTGATTGATTGTTTCATTTCTTTTGATGTTGACCATTTACCAATCTTTTCGTTTTGATTCCTTTTATTCCACAACATTTGTTGACGATTACGAGCAAAGTATTCTTGATTGTCATTTTCTTGTTGATATTCATCGTTGTCATAGTTTTCTTCAGATTCCAAACGTTCAGCAAGGTTCAATTTTTTGTATCGGATAGCCATTTCCAAACCAGTTACCGGGTTTTGTTCATCAGCATCCAACATTAAATGAACAGAACATGGTGTCATTTCATCGTTGTTCCATAATTCAATCAATCCGGCTAAATAACCGTATTTTTCAGCTGTTTCCGATTTATACCATGGTTGACTAAAACGATTAGCACTTTCGGTTGTAACTTTAACATTCAATCCAATACCTAATTCTTGTTTGCCATATTGTTTTTCATATTTGAATGGAATAGGCTGAGTACGAATAGTAGTACTAGTTTCTGATAACCATTCACGTTCGGGGGATCCGGCAATTTTAGCTTTGTTGATAAAAGTTTTAGCTTCAGTTTGATGATGATATATTTCTTGTGGTACTTTTGGTGTAATCGACCAGCTAAGTTGTTTGGTTGGATGCCAATAACTGACACTCAAATCCACTGGAACGGCAACACGTGATTCTCTTGAAATATGGGCACCAATAGCTTCGGTGTTGATTGGTGTAAGAGCAAAGATAAAATAATAGCTACTATGATGAATTGATGGTTCAATTTGAGCGGTAAAGTTGACACCTTGTGGGAACGAGGATGAACCAGATGATGTTGATGATTCTGATGATGATCGATCTTGTTCTTGTTCAGATTGTTGTCGGTTAACAAATTCAACTTTAGCTTCATTGATTTTCACTGAAACGATGGTTGGGTATCGTTGTGTGACAACGATGGGCAAACCGATTTCCGATGAAACAACCTTGTACAATTGTTTGGGCAAAACTAATTTGATGTAATGATATTGCTGACCTTTAGACAATTGGCCAATAATATCTTTGATAGAATCTTCAGCTGAATCCAATAATTGTTGAACATATTGACGATCAAATGCATAATAGCTGGTTTGTTCGAATAGTTTGAAAAAGACGGTTGCTTTCGGTTCTTCTTCTGTTCGTACAGTGAGATCTAATTTTTCTTTCAATGCTTGCAATGTTTCCTGGGCAGATCCAGCTTTTCGTTTCAACAAACGACGATCTTTACCATAAGAGCTGAATGATTGAAGAACATCGTTGATGATTCCATTCGATGATGTCAAACGTTCAATGATGCTGTCCAAACCTTTAACATTGTAGCCTACTTCAATTGGAATTTCTTGTGTTGGCCCATCAGTTTCACGAACGGCAAGATAACCGGATCGTGGAATTTTCGAAACATTACTGGAAACCCATTCGGCCATAATGTTCATACCGTATTGTTTGCTTTCATCGTAATAACTTTCACCGACCATTTTAGAATAATACATTCCGTATTCATCTTTTGGGGCAAATCCCAAAGCAAATCGTACATCTTCAGCTAATTGTCTGGTTGATGGTTCAGTAAAGTTAGCAATTGTTTCCAATGAAGAGATAACAAATGATTTCACTTGACGATTGGTTTCATGATGCATTTCAGTACTGATTCGTTCCAAAACATATTTACCCGGATTACAACCAAGCAATACAGTGAAGGCAGCAATACGTACTTCATATGGTTCATTTTTGTTCTGGAATATTGGCAACATCAATGCTCGAACTTGTGGTGTATTAGCCGGTGCAATATGGGTCAAAGCATAGATGCAAACTTGACGGATAAAGTTACGTTCTTGACTGATTTCGTTATCATTTTCAACTGGATATCCAGGCATTTCTTCATTCAAAATTTCATCTCGAACGTATGGAGCAAGAATGGCCAATGCTTCGGCAGTTCCAGTATGGGCCAATGTTTCAATCAATGTAACTTTTTGATGGAAAGTAGTGCATGTTTTCAAGGCTTTAGCCAATACTTGCATCACTTGTGAAACTTCATTTTGTTCCAACAAATCGTGGCGGAAATGTTGATGCCATGGAGCCGATCGTCGAACACGGATAGTGTTTCTTTTCAATTCAGCCTGTGCATGTTGTTGTCGTCGAATTGATTGTTCATCATGGATGTCACCTTTGATTTGTTGTCGTTTGATGGTAGCTTGATTAATCAATTTACCCAAAGCAATACCAGTCGATGAGGCTAAATGTCGTTGTTGTTGAACTTTTTCACTGAGAAACATGTTCAAATATTCTTCAACAACTTTAGCATCGACTAAGAATAAGTTTTGTGGAACAGATTCAATCATTTCTTTGACTTCAGTGGTTGTAACACGATCTTGTTCGTATAATTTTTTGATAAACAAAGCAGCGTCGGTGGTACCAGCGTAGCAGAGTAAATCCAAAAATAATTTTCTATTCATTCGTTCGTGTGCAGTAGCACGATGTGATCGACCTTGTTTGGCTACTGTTTCGAATAATTCTTCGAAATGTTCAGCATCCAAAACGGCCATAGCGTTAGCTAATTGTACAACTTTTTGCATTGTGTTTTTCGATGGTTCATTCAATGTGGCTTCGATATCAGATGAAACTGATGCCAATAAACCTGGAATGAGTTCTTTCAATTCTTGTTTATCAACTTGTCCAAACAAATGATAGTATGGGATGTCCAATTGAGTTTCAGTTTCTGGAATTCGGTATGACAATTCTTGATGCAACTGAAAAGGAATAGAGAGAATGTATTTTATTAGAAATTCAAATGTGAATTTTAGAATATATATGGAATAAAATTTCTTACCAAAATGCTTCGAATTTGTCGAATGGCACCCAATTTAGCAGTTGAAACGATATCCATCAAGGTAGCATTCTGCTCCGAGATGATTACCAATTGTTTACCTTTGGTTTCATAAACAGTTTTACCTTGACCATAGACTGAATCAATTCGTGTTGTTTGTTTGGAAGATGAAATGTTATATTTAACATAATTATATAGGTTGACGGCTGAACCATCTTGGCTAGTTTGATCTTGGTGTTGTTGACAGCCACCAAGTTGATGTTCTTCACTCAATGATGGATAATAACCATTGATCAATGGATAGGATTTACCTTCATGACAAATGACGGGTGCACCACGATAATCAGTGTTTGTACTTTCCAAACTTGGTCGTGTCAAACAATTATTATAGTTTCGCGTTTTAGTTACGTTGAATACTTGGATCGATTCTTCTTCATCTTGTTCGCCATTAGCTGTGGTCCATTTATCTTTAGCTGAGATGACCTGATATACGGTTTCACAGACACCATTAGTACCATCTTCATATACTGGATAGACGACTAATCGTTCATCGTTTAAATGTTGTTGCTGAATACCAAAAACATTGTTAACTTTTTGAACCAATTGTTGTCCAGTCACAACACGTTTGGGAACCAAATTGATATTGAACAAACTAAGAATGGATTTCTTAATATTAATCGACCATTCCTGTTCATTACCGTCGGCTTCAAAAGCTTTAATCTGACCATTATCCCAATAGAATCGGATTGGTCTCGAAAGTTGTTCTTCATATTCTTTTTGTGGTTGATGATCAACAACAACATGACCGAAAAGTTTTTCCGATACAGGACCATTGTGTTTGCCAATACGAATGTTTGTCATCTATTAATGTAATCAATTTAGTTCATTCATTTCGTTCATAGCTAATATAATATTTATCATTTATTACCTGCATGGCAATATGTGAACCTTGTTGTTCAGCTTGAAGTACAATATCGGATTTGATTTCCATTAAGGCTGCATCCGAATCGAATTGTGCGATACCGGAGATCAAACGACCACTATAAGAATAAATATAACTTTGTCCAGGTGCCAATCGGATCGGTGAAATGGAACTCCATACTGTAAGTAATATGTTGTCAATTAAATGTTGAACAATTATCATTTAAAAATTTCACAATACCTGCCGATACCAAAAGGCCTGAAGTAAACAGGAGACCCAATAAGGTCTTCATTGTTGTTGTTGTTGTTGTTGTCGTAATAGATTTAAGAATCAAAACTGATTTGGATAATTATTTACTACACTTGAAATGTTGATCAGTTTTGTCTTTGTTTGAAACAAACTAGCATTGAATGAAAATTCAATCGCTAACAAAGTTCTGATGATGATGATTGAATATTTATAGTTTTTCTATGAATCGTCAATTCATGTTGGCCCCGAAAACATCATTTAATCTATCATTTTTTTTACTAATAAACATAAAATAGCAATCATTTTGCTTTACTGGCAAATTTGACAATTGCACCAATATAAGCTAATGACAAAAAAGAAAAAAAAATTAATTTTTCAGCAAAAAAATGAATAAATCTGCAATTGATCCAAATTCAATTCTCAATCAAATCGATAAAAAGATAACCATACTCAAAGAGAGTTTATGGGAAATCGATTAATTCATCATCATCATCATCATTAGTTTAATTCATCGTTTTTATTCAATGTAATCGATACATATCAATCATCAATTGGTATAAAGCTCAATGCTGATATCAATGAAAATAATGACAGTGTCATCAAATTTAATTGATGATGATCTTTGTGTATCATCGAATGTTTGAATGGATTATTTTTTTTTTCTTCATTTCAGGCTGTCAATTATCAAATGTTCGTTTGCTTACCTAAGCTCCCTGTGTGAATTTCGCTTACGAATTTTTTTTTTTTTTTAGTTTCCATAGCACTTGAATGATGATCTGATATTTGATTTTTTTTAGTCAAGAAAAGACCAAATAATTTTAGTGAATGAAAATTTAAATACGTCATAAAGTACATATGTACTATAAATTATAACATGAAAAATGATGATCATATGGTGGTCATTTAGAAAAGGAATAAATTTTTAATTTTTTAAAGTGCCCGTGCACAATAGTTGTGTATATTAGGGACAAAAAAAAAGAAAGAAATTTCAAAAAGATTTGATAGGATATTCAAGATATTAAAAAAAAAGAAAATGTTAAATAAATCAAACTATATATGAATGGTCCATGGTCCATTATGAATTAATTACGGCTACAAATACAATGATGATGATGATGATGATGAATTTGTGAATTTTCAGTCATTTAAGATTACAAATGTGATGATGATGATGTATTTCGAATTAGAAATAAAAAAATAAAAAAAAGAGAATTCTGAACATTTTTTTTTGCTGTACATAAAATGAATGTGTGTGTGAATGATGAAGTATTTATAAATGTTAATTATTTCCATTGTCTTTTCACCTGTCGATGTCTAGTTGTATGGCCATATATTTTTCGATTTCTGGCCAATTCTTGTGATAAAATCGCTACACATTGATCACGAATACGAGCAAGTTCTTCTTCAGTACAAAGATAATTAACTTTTGGATTTTGAAGATGATGTGATAATGAAGCTATAATCTATTGATTGGTTGATTAGAATGGTAAAAAAAATTCAATTAAAAACACTTACTTTTTCCAAATAGTTTATATAAATCGAACCAATCCGTGTAAATTGTTGAAATAGATCTACAATTTGTTGTTCTTTTTCATCATTATCGGATAAAATTTTTATACACAATTGACTCAAACCATTCGCTATGGATGATATGAAACATTCATCACGTATCATTGTTGTTTCAATTTCATATGGTACCAGACAATGAGCTCGTTGTGGATTATTTCTTATTGACTGTTGTGTGGTAATGAGAGAAAACAAAATTATTATTATCATCAACAAAATTAATACAGACAACACAACAACAAACAAAAATTCACATACATCTTTACTGTATTTAGGAGAACTAGCCCAAAAACATTTGATCGTACTGGCTAGTATGGAATTTAATTCAGGCGTAAAATAACAATAAGATGAATCATGACGATGATGATAATCATAAGGAATATTATTAGCAATAAATTTTGAACCAATCGAACGTTCAGAGTGTGGCTGATATCTAGTGAATGATTTCGATGATAAGGTTTGTCCAATCGGTTGAACAAGAAATGGTGTAATAATGAAACCGACAAATGTTCGTTCATTTTCTTCAAGTGGTTGTTGTTGTTGTTCATCCTTCGAAAGATTGTCATTAATTTTTTCCTGTTTATTATTTATCGATTTATTTTTTTCTTCATTAATGTAACGTTCCAAAAATATTCCTTGATAACATTTCTGTGTTTGTATATCCAATATGGATGGTTTAGTAGAAAATTTAGGATGTGAATGATACCATCCAACCATTTTTAAATTCTGTTTTTCTATAACTTCAATTGAATTAACATATGAAACGGAATCCAGCTCACATTGATTAAAACGATCTTCAATAGATGAACCAGGCACTGTAGTTAATACATATAATGTTTTCGTTACACGACAATAATAGCCACCAAGACAACCGATTACTTCATTATGAGAACAATGTGCATGTAAATCCATCAATAATAATGCTTCTAATTTAATTTTAACAACCACTGGTGATTGAATGGAATCATCAAAATGATGACATTCAACCAATGTAAGTGGATCACGAACTTTTTTAGTTGGATCAAAATATGTCAGAATATTGGTTTGATCTTGATATGAAGATATTTTTTTCTGATTATTACTATTATTAGTTTCATTTGCAGATGATGTTGTTATGGCAGAGGCGTTGGATATAGTAGAACCATTCATTTTACTTAATTTTTTATTCTTATTCTTATTCGAATTTCGTTGTCGTCGTCGTTTTGATTTTAATTGTTTACCATTTTTAATGTTTTTAGATTTGACAATTGTTTTATTATTTTTAACTATAATTTTTCCATTCGTTTTATTGGATAAAGCCGGTTTTGATTTCTGTTTATGTTTAGGAATATTGTTCGATAAAGTTGGCATGAAACCATTCAATTTTAAATTGTCATTCGAATTTTGTTCCGATGATTGTTGTTGATGATGATTATTGTTGAGATCATTTGTTTTGATAATATTAACATTATTATCAACGATGGCAGCTATTTTTCCCATTCTTAGAATGTGATTTTTTTCTCAAAATTAACTTTTATAATATTTTGATGATTGATGAAACAATAAACAAAGAATAATAAATTGGTTAACTATAAATTTAAATGAATTTGATCAAAATTGAAACGATCTATATTGGAAAATGATTGTTTTCGATAATGGTCTTTTAAAATGTCCATAATAATCACGAAGAAAATAAGGTGAAGATAATAAACAAAAAAAAAAAACAAACCCAGAATGATAAAATGAATCTGGGTTGGCTAATAAAACAATGTGTTAGTGTGTGTGTGTGTGTGTGTGTCTGAGAGACAGTGAGTTTTAGCGCAATACAAAAATTACCCTTCATAGACAATGTTATGATGAAATTTTTTTTTTATTTTCAAAATTTTCACAATGTTTCATATAAAACAAAATATGTGCTTTTATTTTTATTATATCATTATTAATACAACAATGAAAGTCAAATGAATTATACAACAAAATACACAGATGGGTTAGTACTAATCAAAAGGTTAGTTAGTACTAACCTAAAATCCAACAAGAAGTTAGTACTAATGGTTACACTAACTCATTTTGAGTTAGCCATCAATGCTAACCTCGTTAGTGCTAACCTTTTGGGTTAGCAATCCCCGGATTGCTATCCATTATTTTAAAATTAAAATTTAATTTTTTGTATTATAAGATAAATTATAAATAATCATTAATTAATAAATTAATATTTATAGTGAAAAAATAAATCAGAAAAATAATTTTTGACCAAAACAACAGAGTAATCGATATATAATGAAATCAATTTATAAGCAAAAATTTACAAATTATTCAGATTTATTATTATTTAATGAATATTATATCAAATACCGAAATGTAATTATCAAAATTTTAAAAAGATGGTCATCATAAATCATTTTGGAGTGCGAAACAACGTGATGATGATGATGATAATAATCAAGATGGTCATCCAATTCAACAATCAATGGCTACAAAAAAAATGGCCATCATGAATCATCATCCGGCTACACTGTTTGATTCACAAATATGATGATGCACCACAATTACAGCATTCAACACCATCAACAACAACAACGTAATATTGTACATGTGCTGTAATCAAACATCCATGAATGCAAATATTCCACCATCATCATATCATCAAGCAGCAGCAACAGCTGCATCGCCACAACAAATACCAATTTCAATACCAAATTCACAATCATTTGATGCTGCTACTAATGAAATTCGTGATGATTCGCATACATTTAATTTATACATGTAATAACATTATGTGGACATAACATGGTTATAATCGTATCGAATATTATGTTCGCAGCTATGATTGAGGAATGGACACTATTGAAATATTATAAAGCTTTATTGATCAAGTATAGTTTATTTTTATAATCTGAATATATGTTTTTCAATAAAAATAAAAAATGAATAACAACAAAAATTTTGAAACAGTATTGAAATATAATACAAACACAGGATGTCAAAGAAAACGTTGATCGTGCGATTTTGAAATTGATTTTTGTATGGGGTAAACTGGACATAAACATCTTCATGAAATAGAAAATAATAAACCGAATTCGGAAAGTTGATGTCAGGTTAAACTCAAATGAAATTCTTAACGATAATTTAATAATCCAATTTACCAATTTGTGATAAAGGTCAATTATTACGTTCCATTGAAATTACATTATAATTTTTTTTCATCAATTATGCTGCTGATATGATAATATCTATCATATCATGAGTTGATTTTTTATTCATTTTTCATGCTAACTCTATGGCAAAAACAATGCATTCATTTTGCCGCCTAAAATTTCCAAGTCCAACTAATGAGCAACTGCGCATAGTCAAGCAGTGGTAGTGCAGCTAACTATTTTCAATGCAAATACTGCGCGCTTCTATTCCCCATACAAATTTGAATTTGATCGTTGGAAAAATCGAACATTAAAATTCAACGGTCGTCGAAGACGGTTGTCCTCACTCAACTTTGCGCTATTTTTCGTGATCATGTCGTGATATTTTTTTCATTTTTTTCTATTTTAATCGTAGATTTTTGCACTAAATTTTGGAACAAAGAATTTAATCGATTCAAGATTATCGTTGTTCAAACTTATTGTGGTCTAAGATCAAAAATTGGCCCCGAAATCGATGAAGATCGTTTGGTTCGGTCATCATGTAATCATGATACAAGTTGGCGAACAAATCCCATTTTCGATGACTTTCAAATGTATTTATGACATTTTGTTTTCACCAAATTGTATTCAATCATATCCTTTTCAAGTTTTCTTTTTCAGAGTCCATTATACTTGATGTATGACAATGTATGGAATTCGGATTAATATGTGAAAACATGGTCAATGAGGTAATTTACATTTTGCCTTAGATTGAAAATGCTAACAATTTTCCTTGTCTTTTGAAGCATAAAATTTTCATTGATGATCAATGATCATTAGACATATAATTGGTGCCGTCTTTAGAAAAACGATCATGGTAATGATGCTGAACATTGCCAAATTATTGGTGGATATCTGGTCACTAACATGGTACTAATGAACATTACAAATTTATTGGTGGATATCTGGTCACTAACATGGTATCTTTTTGTCATGTCCTGAATGAAACATCAAATTGAAATTCACCATCAGGTAACTTTGGTTTGAATTTCGCTATCAATCAATGATTCTAACATTTACATTTCTCAAAGGCCTGCATTGGATTGAATTGTCGGAACAACTTATTCGGTAAGTCGACATATTCATTCTTCATATCTAATAAAGATTGGTCTATCTTTTTTTATCAGGTTCGTTCCTGAAATTTTACAATCATCAAATTGAAATTCGATTGATGATTATGTTCGAGATCAATTCGGCGGTTCCATTTTTCATCAGCATCCAATTCAAGAATAGTTTATGCATGTTCAACACATGATATCAGGTTAGGCTAGGGTTAGATTAGGCTTAGGAACACGGGTCTGTCTTAGCTATTTCCTATTGAATTGGATGCTGATTTCCGAATCTTTGGAATCAATGAAGCGATCGAAAACATGATTATAAGTTGAAGATTCATGGGATGGAAATCACATACTTGAAAATGATCATGGTAAGCAAATTTTAATTGAACAACTAATATTTATCTTTACTTAGGATTGCCGGCGAACAATTGGGAAATTGGGAATCTCGAACCACGGATAGAATTTGGACATTGTCTTGGAACATGGACCGCGAACATTGGATCTATTTCAAACGGGACAATTAACGTTGCATGGCGCAATTGGGATGTGGAATATGGATGTATTTTATTATTTATTTATAATATATTTTATAAATTAATATATCAATAAAATCAAAATTTCAATATATCGAAAATTTTATGGGGGCAAATGTAATAAAAGGGGTAAAATTGCTGCAACAAATCAAATGAACGACACAATCGATAGATAAAATATCGTTGCAGGCTGGCAAATTGCTCATAACCCAAAAAGGTTAGTACTAACCCTAAATGGTTATTTTTTGTATAATAACCAAAAAAGGTTAGTACTAACCTTTTTACTTTCTTTTCTGTGTAGTAAAATGAGATATATAAATTCAAAATGATGAAGGAAAAAAAATGAACACATGAATAAATAAAATTTATCCACTCAAAGATAAATGGTTGAATACTCTGGAACTTTGGCATTATTGGCTTCATCTTGTAATTGTTCTGATGTCGGTGGTGTATGAATCGTATCGAATAAACATGGATATTTATCCGGATGTTTAATAACCTCTTTATACGATGGTGGCATTGGTTGGCGGAAAATATTTTCCTGAACATTAAATATTGATCCACTGTTTTGTGTCCCGTGATTCATTGTTGTTGGATTTAGATGTAATTGTACCAATTTCATTCGCAATAAATGACAATAAACAAATGATACCATTATTATGGCAATATTTATGGCAAAATAACCGGTAAATAATATTAATTGTGATGTTTTTGTCATGACAACAATTAAATGTCCAAGATTAGTGACAGCAAAACAACTGATAAAGCAATGATTTTCAAATAATGCCACAATTAAACCGGCCAATGAAAATGAAAGGCCAAAATATGTAATGAGATTAAAGATGAACATATCATCCTATGTATCATATGATTAAAACAGAGAGAGAGAGAGAGAGAGAAAGAGAAAAACAGCAATTATTAAAATAACCAATGAAATGAACAAACAAACAAACCTTAAGATTAGATGATGATGATGATAATCTTTTAAGATTATCCTTGATGGTTATATAGATGAATACGACCAACAATTGTAACAACGATAATATGATTAATGAAATTTTTGCACGTTTCAATTTATTATCCATCAGCATTATTGAACGACCATTATTTGTAACATAACTGGTCATTGTTATTGTTACAAGAAACAAATGAAAAAAAAATAAAGAAAATTTTCAATCAGTAAAAAAATATGATGAGATAGATCACAAGAAAAAAAATAGAAATCAAAATATATGGTAACAACAACGAAAAAAAGAAGACAGGAAGATCAAATCCGCAAGAGAAAAAAAAACCAAAACAAATGACAATGGATTGATGATGACACGATGACAAATAATATATAAGTATATATAAATAAATTTTATATAATAAGCTTTCATTCGATGATAATAATCTTGAAATACAATTTTTTTTTTATATTTTAGCTTTTACCTTTTTTTTCTAGTTATGATAATCATCTAAAAATCATTTGATTTTCTGTTTTATATCTGGTTCCGTAAATGTATTGCGTTCGATGTTTGTCAATAAGAGTTGCAAAATACACACAACGACACACACACATACATCATACAATTTTCATAAAAAAATCAACCATTTGTTAGTGCAGTTAAAAGGCAGTTAACAACAATAACTTTTAGAGAAAATTGCATACATTTCAATGTCATTGTCATTCTCATCATCATCATCATCATCATTATTATTATTATTATACGTTCGATTGTAGGTGCGAGGTATAATGTGATATTTTAATAATAACAACATAAAAAAAAACAAAAGGACGATAATGACGTTGCATGAGAGAAGAGAGTGTGACTGGTGTATTCATCATAATTTTTTGCTACTTTAAATTGTCAAAGACAAATAAAGAGAATGGGGTGATGATAGAAATAAATGAAGGGAAATAATGTAAATCCCATCAAGGATTGAGTGAAAATTTTTTTTTCTTGATTAATCAATTTTTTTGATTTCAAAAAAATCCACAATCAAAAAATCATTGAAACGATTTATATTGGCCAACATGTTTTAAAGTAGATTTATTTATTTTTCACTTATTATCAGTCATGATGGTTGAATAAACTTTGTGGATTTTTGATCTTTAATTCAGCTTTTGATCACAATAACAAAGGATTGAGGTTACGTAATTCTTGGTTTATACACACACACAGATGGTTTTATGGTTTACGTTCTATATGAATATGAATTTCGTCCTCGTTGTATTATTTTGTGTTTTGCACGCATGCATCAATGTGAGTTTTGTTTACAACTTTATTTTGCAAAAAAATCTAGAAATTTCTTTTTTTTTATCGATTGATTGATTGATTTTCATACTGACATCTTGGATAAGACCACTTAACAAATGATAATGGAACCAACACAACAACAGCAAAAAAAACCACGATTTGATTGGTATGAAACTGATCAATTAATTGTCATCGGTGTCATGATCAAACAGATTGATAAATCAAAAGTTCATGTTGAATTTCAACCACGACGTATAATTTTCACTTATGAACATCAGACGGAGAATGATAATGAAAAAATTCATTACGAACTTATTCTCGATTTGAATGGTGAAATTATACCATCGGAATCCAATTGGAAAGTAACATCTGTAAAAGCCGAAATTAAGCTACGTAAAGTGGCCAATTATCGTTGGCAAAAACTTGAGGTTGTGTGATCATGGATTTTTGTATAGCCAGAGTTTTTAATTATTTTTTCTTTACACAGGCTGTTCCATGCAATCAACCGAAAACATGTATACCGATGAATTCATTGTCAAAAGTTACTAATACGGATTCAGGAGGATCATCATCAAACGATAATGTCAAAACAAAAGGAATGATGCGTAATTGGGATGAACTAGTCAAACAAGTCGAAAAAGACGATGAACAAGAAGAAAATGGTGTTGAAGACTTATTTCGTCGTATATATTCTTCTGGTGATGAAAATTTACGTCGAGCCATGAATAAATCGTTTGTTGAATCAAACGGTACGGTTTTAAGTACTAATTGGAATGATGTAGGAAAAAGTACAGTGGAAATGAAACCACCGGATAATTGTGAATATCGTAAATGGAATGAATGAAAATTCCAAAAAAATTATATCCATCCATCAAATTTTTAAAAAAAAATCGAAGCAAATGAGATGTAAATATGCCAAATAGAAAAAAAAACACATTTTTTAAAATGTTATTTTCGATCGAATATCAATGATCGATGATGATGATTGTTAATATTTATTTCGATTCTTGTGAATTAAAAACATCGGGAAATAATTCCTTATATTTATTATTCTTAGCAATATGATAAACTTCTTTAATGGTTGTTTCCGCTGCACCGGTTACCTCTGATATTCTACGAATTGTTTGTGTCATTTTTCCGGTACAACATTTACAATCATTACTATTGTTGTTATTTTCTGTCGAAACGGTGGTTCTTGTTTTCGCCATTGTTTGATTCTGTTCTATACTTGTTCCGGTCACTATAATTGCAAACAAAATGGCCAATGATGCAATTGTGCTTGGATTACGACCGGATAAAATTGATTCAATATTCGGTATAAATTCTTTTGCACATTTTTCAATCCTATTCGAAAGACCTAAATGTGCTACAAAACGTGGAATATAATCAATAACCGATGCCTGTAAAATTGTTTGGCCAATTTCTCTCGATATAATTTTATAACATTTAGCTATTTCACGTTTAGTTGCTTTAGAAACGGCACAGATTTCTTTAAATGTTCGTGGTACATTCTGATTCCTGTATGCAACATATAAACATGCCGATGCTAATGGCATATGTATGTTACAGGATTTAAATATATTCAAATTAGTTTTCATTTGTTTGAATAACATTTGTGCACTTTCAATCACCGGACGTGTTGTCTGTAGTTTTTCAGCCATTTCGGCAATATCTTTAAAACCGACAATTATAGCACGTTGATTATTGTTTAAATATTTTTTATTATAATATGGCCTTGTTGGATCACGACGTATATAAGGATTTTCTATGAATTGTCCATCAGTGGATTGATCATCATTCAAATCATTTTTAGTATTTTGTTGATGTGATGTACAACTAGGACGATTCGATATAAATGTTGATAAATTCATCGATTCATATAGTTCACTATCTAATGATCCAACACGTGATTTATTCACTTGATCATTGGAAAATTTTCGCCATTCAGCACCAACATCGATAATACGATCACCAATAACAAGACCACAACCAGAACATATCATATCACCAGCATGATAATCTTCAATCAATGGTGTTTGTTCGGGACAATATTCACATTTTATCAATTGTTTACTACAATGACCACCATTATTATTATTGCTTGTCATTTTTCTTTTCCTGTATTACAAACGAAAACAAAAAAAAACAAAAAAAAACAAACTATTCCCACTATACCAATTGAATTTCCTATTTCTATCGATTCGGTTATTTACATTTCAATCGAATCGAATATTCGAATGTCAAATTCTAATTTATTATTGTTTTTGTTGTTGTTGTAATTGAGTTTTTTGTTTTGTTTTGTTTTGGTCAAGAATTTTTCTTTTGTTTTGTTCACATATTTTGTCTTTTTTTTATGTGCAAATTCATTAAATTAACTGTCTCTCTCTCTGTGTGTGCGTGTAATATGATCTGATCTGAAGCAACAAAATAAAGTATAGACAAACATTTGGTCCAAATGTGGAATGATGGTCATCATATGGAATCAAGTAGGTGCGATTCAAAGTTTTTTTTTCACTTTGCATAGTTTTATGAGTTATCCCTCTTGATGTACAACGATATTCTCATGTTTTAGACAGATTTAGATTATATGCAAAGTTCCGATTATCTCATTGTGGATGATATGCATGTTTTTTTTTGCAAAAAAATAAATAAATAAACACCATTTTGGTAGACTGCTTGACGACGCTATATCTTCAACCATTTTTTTTTTTTTTTTTGGTTCAACTGTAACAAGTTTAAATTTTTGTTTGTTTGTTTGTTTGTTTGTTCATCAAATGTATCTCACGAATACAAAAAAAAATTGTTGAAATCAAAGCAATTTATTGTTATTTCAAAACATTCATTCATTCATTTTATATTCACTCGATGGTTCTATGGGCTAGCAAAACATTTCATTTTGGGTCCATTTGCTTCCATGACCTTTTATGAATGTTTAAGATAGTTGAAAAAAAACGAAAAACAACGAATAAAGAGTATATACCATGTGTAATTTTGTAAGCCAAATGGTTAATGACTTTCATTTCTCATTCTATCTATATGAAAATTTACTTGATTTTTATTTTCTGGTAATGATGATGGTAGATCTTTAATATCTCACCACCACCACCACCACCACCATCATCATCCTGCAGTGGTAATATCATCGTTTTTTTTATACTCAAATTGAAACAATTTTCTTTGAATAAGATCCGGCCATTTTTTCTTGTGCATTATTATGTTGAATTCAAACAGTATGGTGATCATGATCATCATCAGTATTGTCATTATCATATCAGATTACCATGAAGAGAAAATATCTTACATATTGTATGTGTGTCAGGTCAAAGGTGATGTTATGAACTTATTTTTCAATTTTGGTAGACTGCATGGCGACATTTGGTATGAATTTTTTTTGGTTTAGTTTGCTGTTTTGTTGACTTCATTTCCTTTTTTTCTTGGAGGGGATGATGAGATGAAATTCTCATTTTTCAACAAATGAGAAAATTCATCTTATTTGTTTGTTGATAGTTTTTTATCCAAAAAGAATTTGTTCTCTCTTATTTAAATGGTCAATTTGTGGTCATCATTTAGCCATTCGTCATTTGGGATTGAAGAATAGAATGGAAAATTCCAATGTACCAGAATTAAATGCTAAATGATTGTTGTTGTTCAATAGAGTCATTTCTTTTTTTTCCTGCACATTAAGATTCTGGAATTTTTTTTTCTTTTTATTGATGATGATGATGATGATGATGATATTTATGGCCATTTTGTTGGCTATAAACATGTTATATGGTTCTGTTTTGCAATTGAAAATGATGATAAATTTCATAATAATAATATATACTTGCTGCTATAAATCAAATTGTTTAAAATTCAATAATTCAAATTGAATGAATGAATTCTTCGCTAGAAGAATGGATGTATTGTCAATGAATCATTTCATTTCCATTCGATTACTGATGGTGAATTTTCACATTATCGAGAAAGAGAGAGAGAGAGAACTCAATTAGATCTTTATTAGATCGAAATCAGCTTAAGAGCGGTTTTTCTTCTTTATATTTACACTGATTGAATAATAATAAAATTTATTTGTATACATTTTTATTCACTTGATCATTGGAAAATTTTCGCCATTCAGCACCAACATCGATAATACGATCACCAATAACAAGACCACAACCAGAACATATCATATCACCAGCATGATAATCTTCAATCAACGGTGTTTGTTCGGGACAATATTCACATTTTATCAATTGTTTACTACAATGACCACCATTATTATTATTGCTTGTCATTTTTCTTTTCCTGTATTACGAACGAAAACAAAAAAAAAAAAAAAAACAAACTATTCCCACTATACCAATTGAATTTCCTATTTCTATCGATTCGGTTATTTACATTTCAATCGAATCGAATATTCGAATGTCAAATTCTAATTTATTATTGTTTTTGTTGTTGTTGTAATTGAGTTTTTTGTTTTGTTTTGTTTTGGTCAAGAATTTTTCTTTTGTTTTGTTCACATATTTTGTCTTTTTTTTATGTGCAAATTCATTAAATTAACTGTCTCTCTCTCTGTGTGTGTGTGTGTGTGTAATATGATCTGATCTGAAGCAACAAAATAAAGTATAGACAAACATTTGGTCCAAATGTGGAATGATGGTCATCATATGGAATCAAGTAGGTGCGATTCAAAGTTTTTTTCACTTTTGCATAGTTTTATGAGTTATCCCTCTTGATGTACAACGATATTCTCATGTTTTAGACAGATTTAGATTATATGCAAAGTTCCGATTATCTCATTGTGGATGATATGCATGTTTTTTTTTGCAAAAAAATAAATAAATAAACACCATTTTGGTAGACTGCTTGACGACGCTATATCTTCAACCATTTTTTTTTTTTTTTTTTTGGTTCAACTGTAACAAGTTTAAATTTTTGTTTGTTTGTTTGTTTGTTTGTTCATCAAATGTATCTCACGAATACAAAAAAAAATTGTTGAAATCAAAGCAATTTATTGTTATTTCAAAACATTCATTCATTCATTTTATATTCACTCGATGGTTCTATGGGCTAGCAAAACATTTCATTTTGGGTCCATTTGCTTCCATGACCTTTTATGAATGTTTAAGATAGTTGAAAAAAACCGAAAAACAACGAATAAAGAGTATATACCATGTGTAATTTTGTAAGCCAAATGGTTAATGACTTTCATTTCTCATTCTATCTATATGAAAATTTACTTGATTTTTATTTTCTGGTAATGATGATGGTAGATCTTTAATATCTCACCACCACCACCACCATCATCATACAGTGGTAATATCATAGTTTTTTTTATACTCAAATTGAAACAATTTTCTTTGAATAAGATCCGGCCATTTTTTCTTCTGTGTGTGTGTGTGTGTGTATTATTATGTTGAATTCAAACAGTATGGTGATCATGATCATCATCAGTATTGTCATTATCATATCAGATTACCATGAAGAGAAAATATCTTACATATTGTATGTGTGTCAGGTCAAAGGTGATGTTATGAACTTATTTTTCAATTTTGGTAGACTGCATGGCGACATTTGGTATGGATTTTTTTTGGTTTAGTTTGCTGTTTTGTTGACTTCATTTCCTTTTTTTTGGAGGGGATGATGAGATGAAATTCTCATTTTTCAACAAATGAGAAAATTCATCTTATTTGTTTGTTGATCGTTTTTTATCCAAAAAGAATTTGTTCTCTCTTATTTAAATGGTCAATTTGTGGTCATCATTTAGCCATTCGTCATTTAGGATTGAAGAATAGAATGGAAAATTCCAATGTACCAGAATTAAATGCAAAATGATTGTTGTTGTCCAATAGAGTCATTTCTTTTTTTCCTGCACATTAAGATTCTGGAATTTTTTTTCTTTTTATTGATGATGATGATGATGATGATGATATTTATGGCCATTTTGTTGGCTATAAACATGTTATATGGTTCTGTTTTGCAATTGAAAATGATGATAAATTTCATAATAATAATATATACTTGCTGCTATAAATCAAATTGTTTAAAATTCAATAATTCAAATTGAATGAATGAATTCTTCGCTAGAAGAATGGATGTATTGTCAATGAATCATTTCATTTCCATTCGATTACTGATGGTGAATTTTCACATTATCGAGAAAGAGAGAGAGAGAACTCAATTAGATCTTTATTAGATCGAAATCAGCTTAAGAGCGGTTTTTTCTTCTTTATATTTACACTGATTGAATAATAATAAAATTTATTTGTATACATTTTACCACTTATGTTTACACACATTCAGGTGTGCATGTATGTCGGTCATTCTGAATATGACTGAATTATTTTCATTTTTTTTTCATTTTGACCACTGTATCTATAATAATACAATGGACAACATGAGTAACAAGTACCTGTTGTTACCGAAAATCTGAATTTTTTCTCTTTGTAATTTTTTTTTTATTTTCATTATAAAACCAAGTGCCAACTGTCCATTCAACCATGTGTATATGTGTGTGGGTTTCTGTGATAAGTGAACACATACACGGTTTGAATTGTTGAATTTTGATTCTTTTTTCGGTATATATTTTTTTTCTCAATATTTTGACCATAAGAAAAAAAAGTGGAAGGCTGAAAAAATTATTCAAGTGGGTTCATTATTGTGTTATGAAGAAAATAGCCGCAATTATAAAATAAATGGTTGAAATCCATGACCGGAATGGCAAAAAAAAAACAACAACAACAACAAATCATTACATGATCTGTACACCTGAACAAGTAACAATTTTCCATTTAGTTTTTTTTAAATATAAATTTCTTATGTTGATTGTAAGACAACATAACATTTGATCATTCGTTTATTTTTATTTTTTGATGAATAATTGAAACGAAAAAGACGAAGGGGGATGAACAATGAAAAAAAAATCATCTGAATATCATTTAATTATGACTACTTACCAAATTTCATCGATATATAATTTGAATGAGAAATGAATATCATGCAAAAACAAAACTAAATAGTCAAATATCAGGTCACATTATTATCACATCAAAACATGCACACACACACACACATACACAAACATAAAGATAATTGTAAAATAATAATATTTCTTTGTTTTGAAAAATCAATGATTCTAAATATTCATTCAATCGATCAATCAATTATAAATATATTTAGCTTTTTTACACACATAAATAAATTTTTGTTGTGATTTCTTAGTGTGTGTGTGTGTGTGTGTGTGTGTGTGTGTATGTTTGTATTGCATTCGTCGTACGTGTTTGTAATCAAAGATGAATTTTATTGATCAATAGAAGAAGAAGAAAATGATATCTAAGTTTGCAATAAGATTATTATTATACACACACACACACACAAACAAATATTTGGCATCATTTTTGGTTATCCAAAGCCCCTTAATCATGATCATACGAATCAGTTATTTGATATATCAATTCAATCAATCAATCCATCAATCGATCAGCAGCAGCAAAAAAACGTAGAATTAGCTAAATTAGCATTTAATTAATCATTGAATAAATAACAACATTTCAAATGACAAAACACACACACACACACACACACACAAACAGACAAGAAAAAAAAATATCATTTGATTTGCATCAAATTTTCAAATCAACGGTTTTCTTTCACTATTTGGTAGATAAATTTTTTTTTCTCTGATGCATTTTATCATTATTATCATCATCATACGGTGAATCTAATGATGATGATGATATTGTCCAGACTTTGTTGTTGTTGTTGTTGTTACAAAAAAAAAAAAAATTTCCGTTTTGTGTCCTCATTCTGTTGTCATTGTTGTTGTTGTTGTTGTTTGTATTATTCATCAAAAAAAAAAAAAAAAAAATCATGGTTGTTATTGGTAATTGGATCGTTTTGTTTTTCACTTTTTATCCATCATGGTTTTTCATAATCATTGTGTGTTTAGTTGAATTAGTATGAAATTCATGGCAAAAGATAAAAAAAAAATTTGATCCATCAATTTTTTTCATTTATTTATTTATTTATTTTAATCATCATTAATAATTGTTTTTATTATATTGCCTCTTGATTATTGTGACCCGGATGATCTCTCTTCTTGATTGACGATATGTGTATATATGTCTATGTTTGTCGAATATCTTTGCTTTTGATTGATTGACATATTCACCAAAAAAGACTAGATATCACTTGCTGACAGTAAAATTGACAAAATTACAAAACAACAACAACAACAACAACAACAACAACAACAACAATGACAATTACAACAACAATTATTAGAATTGAAAACCATTTTTAATCACATGACACTATCTATTTTTTTTTTTTTTTTACAAGATTAAATTAAGACGATCACTATGAGATGATGGTCTAAATCTTGTTCAAAATATTTATTTAAAACAAAAAAAAAAAAAATTTTCATTTCATTTCACTTAGAATAATGTTTATGCGATCAAAGAAGAAAAAAAATAATAATCAAATCCAATTGATACAATCAAATCAAATCGAAATGATTCAAATCTGTGTGTTTGATGTGTGTCTGTGTGTGGAAATACACATCATATCAATCAATGGGCCACATTATCAATTTGCAAGAAAAAAAATACTCGAAATTCAAATAGTTTATTCATTTTTCTTGTTTGTTTGTTCTTCGTTTGATCATCGTTTCTTCTTTTTTTTTGTTGCATTCGAGATATTTCTATAGACATGATCAATCAATCAATCAATCAAATTAATGTGCAAATCAGAATGATTTTCATTCATTCAATCAATTTATTATCATTATTATTGAGTCATTTTGAAAGAGAGAGAGAAAAAAAATTTATTGATTTCAATTCAAATCAACATAGATTACAATTGTGATCGTCGGCATGTCTTTTTTCTGGTGTTGATTGCTGATTTAATGATGATGATGATTAGCCTATTAGAAGAAAAATCGATAATTTTTTTTTAATTTCTAGTGATTGAAATCAGAAATAAAGTTTTTTTTTGTTGTCATCATTTTGAATGATTGTTGAATTGAAAAATCGACTTGCAATACATGTCATGTATGGGTCACCTTTACTCGATTTTTTTTTTTGCTATTTTCTACATTGTTTAAATATATCAGTGTCAAGTGTAGATTACGACATTTGTTCAAAAATTCATTATTACATCATCAAGATTTGAATGTGAACATTCTTAAATATGAACAGATGTTCAATATTTGAATGATGCGGCCAAACAAAACAAAAAAACCGTGTTCGTTTATAAGTTACGCTTGTTAAAAATTTTTTTGGTTTGTCCACAATTGTATAATCCGATGCAAACATTTACAAACAAAATATTAATGGTTGAGCATCTGTCCACATCAAATGTTGTTATTGACATTGTCATTGGATCATTATGTATTTCATTGTAGTAATTTGACATCAAATTAGCCATTTGGCTGTCGTATGATTTTAAATTTTTAGTTTTTAGTCATTTTATTTTTTCAACACCAAATGGATACCACTTGAAATCAACAAAAAATAAAGTAAGCCACTTGGCCAACAAAACAGGTTTTTTTTACGAGAGAGAAAAAAAAGGATTTATTATTTAGTTTTGAATGGATTAATTTATTTGGAGTAGTATATTATATTATTATTATAAATTACAAATAATAAGCATGTTTCTGTGTTTGTGATACACTGTGATCTACCGTTAATCACGGCAATCAATTGTTATTTCAAAATTCGTGTGTGTGTGTAAATGATGATGATGATGATTTTTTTTAAATAAAAAAAAATTGGCACTTTGTGATTATATAATGGATGATTATTGATTGAATGATTATTATTGATAATGTCTAGATGCCATACGACTTAACATGTTTCCTGCCGATTCTTGATCAGATGATTTTATATGATCATTATTCGGTTGCTGTTGCTCAATTCGTGGCCTTTTAACACTATTTGATTCTTGACTTTCATTCGATCCATCACTACCAATTATATCATTGATGGTGAATTTTGTACGATGATTTTTTTCTTTATTATTAATCGATATCATTGATGATGGATCGTTATTTATACCATTATTTAAACCGGGTGAACATGATGAACCGATCAATGAAACTGGTGTTAATGTACCGGATGGACTTGGACTTTGATGATTGTTTAAATGATTATGATGATTTGAGCCATTGTTTAATGATGATGATTGAGATGATGGCGATGATGATGATGCTGATGATGATGGACAGGCGATAGGAATATTAGAAATTTGACTTAGAATATAATTATCATTTGTACTTGAAATATTTGCTGAAGATGATGATGATGATGATGATGATAATGGTGGCATATTGGTGGTTGTTCTAGCCATATTATATGTAGACATTGGATCCAATGAATCAATCGATGCTGTTCGATTTGCCGCTTGGAATGTAGTAGGCGTCATATGATTTAATATTGTATGATATGGATTCAATATAGGATGATGGTGATGATGTGAATTGCCATTTCTAGCCGTTGTTGATGTTGTTCCATTTAATATGGCTGCAGCTGCCGCAGCTATTGCTTGTTGTCTATATGTATCATGTACAACACTTGCAGCGGCTGCTGCTGCTGCTGCTGCAGCCGCTGGACCAAATGCCGCAATTGGACAGGCAGCATATGCTTGTAATAGATCTAAATGTTGTCGTTTAAAACGTTTACGACGTCGTAAAAAACTTCCATTTTCAAACATATCTTCAGATGCTGGATCCAATGTCCAATAATTTCCTTTACCAGGATTACCAGGTTCACGTGGAATTTTAACAAAACAATCATTTAATGAAAGATTATGACGTATACTATTTTGCCACATTGGATATTTTTCTTTATAATATGGAAAACGATTCCTAATGAATTCACATATACCACTTAGGGTCAATTTTTTACCAGGTGATTGTAATATCGCCATTGTTATTAGTGCAATATAAGAAAATGGTGGCTTTACTGTAGATGATTTTTTTGTAGATTTTTTGCCATCCGTTTTGGATTTTTTTGTCGATCCACTACTACTATCATTATGTTCATCACTTATATCGTCATCATCATCATCATCATCATCGTCGTCGTCCTCTTCATCGATTATATCGATATCGGAATCCATATCTGTATTCTGATCGGACATTTGTTTAATATCATCAGCATCATCATCATCATTATTTTCATCGTCAACATTAGCATGAGCTTTAGTGTCATTATTTTTTTCCAATTCAATACTATTTCTAATTTCATTTTCTAATTCCGTTAATTTTGTTAATGATGCATTCAATTGATGTTGATTCGTAATGGATGATTTCATTAACATTGGATGATGATGATGATTATAAGATTGTGGTGGTGGTGGCTGTGGCTGTGATGGCACTAATGTTGAATATGCATTATGTCCAGCCGTAATAAATGGATCGATGAATAAACCATTTTTATGGCTTATACGTTGTTGTTGTTGTTGTGGAATTCCATTCAAAAAATTATTCGTATGATGATGATGATGATTTTTTTGTATATTAATTTGTTGCATTATTTCCATTTGTTGTCGTACTGTTTCCGATAATTGTTGTGCTGCTGATGCATATAATAATGGATTCATCATTGTTGTTGTTGTTGTTGAAGTTCATTGAAATTTTTTAAAAAAAAAATTCGTAAAAAAACCAATTCTTCAATATCAGATTTGTCTTTGTGTGATCAAATTTTCAAACGATAAATGAAAATATATATCAATATTCATATGCGAACTGATAACTGAATGAATGAATATGTCGAACACAAACACACACATAGACACACATGATATATACGAGAATAAATGAAATTTTTATTTTACTTTTTGTTTCCAAACACAATAATACAACTGAGCAATCTCGTCGTAATATTCTTCTTCTTCGAACATACACACAACACACACAACACACGAAAAAAAGGCAGTTAATTAATAATCAAAATATTAATACAAGAACATTCGAATAGATAAACAAACTGTAGCTATTTGCTAATGAAAATTGTTGTTGTTGTTGTTGTTGTTGTTGTTGATGTTGTGTTATTATTATCATCATTGTCGACTGTGTATGTGTGTGTGTGTTGTGTTGTGTTGTTATTATTGCTTCTGCTGTTATTTTGTTTTTTTTTTTTTTTTCGTTTTAGATTTTTTTTTCTGTTCATTATCATCATCATCATTGGTTGGTTGGTTGGTTTGTTCAAATGTTTTTTTTTTCGTTCATTTGTTTTGTGTTGTTATTTTATCATAGTGAATTTTTTTTGATTATGTGACCATGTTTCTGGTTTATGTGTGTGTGTGTGTGCTATGTGTGTGTGTGTTACTCTAGTTTCATTTCTAGTATACAAAAAAAAATTCGAAGGAGGTCGTACAGGAAATACAATCATATCATATCATCAAAATGTATTATAATGATGGGTTGGGCTTAGTTTTTTTTCAACTATATATATTTTCTATATATATGTGTTCTGAACTAAACGCCTTTTGTTTACAGCTACTAACCAATAGAAATTCATCATGATCTCTATTATATACATTTATTATCATTATTATCAAACAAAATGTAACTGTACTAATATCATCATCATCATTTTTATCCACTAACAAAAAACGACGATTGTTGAACAAAAAAAAAATTTCTTTATACATTGAATACAATGTATACATACAGAAGCAGATGGGCAGGCAATATTTGTGAAAATTGAATGTCTGTATGTCTGTATTCGTGTAAAGCCAATGTATTATTGTTGTATTAAATACAGTGAAAGAATTCTTTTTCAATGAATTGAAATACCAAAACAAAGCCCAAAATTACAACCCCCCAATTTTTCCATCCAACACGTTTTTTTTTCTCATTGAATGCTATGTAGAAGAAGGATGCTATAATAAGTGCGAAAAAAAAATGAAACGCATGGATGACTTGTATATATCATCATCATCATCATTGCCAACAACAACAACAACAACAACAACGACAAAGACATCGACATCAAAATAATCATCATTGGCAATAATAACAACAACAACAACAACAAAAATCATTTGCTTTTTGATGTTAAATAAAAAAATTGTTGTATTTGTATAAATACTGATGTTCTTTGTGTGTATCACTTTCTCTCTTTCTTTCTCTCATTCTCTTCAAATAAATCAGATAAATCGAAAATGTCAGCATAAATCATCATGGATGTTTTTTTTGTTGTTGTTGTTGTTGTGTACATCGTTTTGTCCATATTCTTTTTGTCGTAGTCGTTGTCGTCGTTGTCGTCGTCGTCGTTGAAAGTGGGAGAAATGAAAGAAAGAAAAAAATCCAAAGTCAAATTCAATGGTTAAATGAATGAATGAATAAAAAAAAAGTTGAGGGAAAAAAAATTGTCGAAAACAAATGTTTAGCTTGTAATTGTTTGTCATTTGAACATCATCATCAATGATGATGATGATAATCATTATCGTTATCTTTCGTTTTTATTTTCTTGCCTTTTTGTTTGGTCGAATTTCTTTTTATAGATCAAAATGTTTGGTTTTTTTATTTATTTATTTATTTATTTATCTGTTTGCGGTTTTTTGCCGTTGTTGTTGTTGTTGTTGTTGTTGAAATGAAAACCAATCATCATCATTATTATTAACTGGCTTCTGTGGGTTTGTCATATATATATATATGATGATGACCTAAACCACTGAAATTGTTTGCTTTTTTTTACAATTGAATTTAGTTTGATTGGTGTGGTTGTTTACGTGAATTTTGTATTTTGTATTTTTTTTTAAATAGAAAGCAAAATGTTTTTCATTTTTATAAAAAAAATACAAAAGTTTTTCCTTTTTCTTTCATCACTATTTTCTGTTGTTGTTGTTGTTGTTCTGATTGAAAAACATTTTTTTTTGTGTTTAGCAAACATGAAAAATTCATTTCAGCTGCTGTATTTTTTTTTTGTTGGTGGCTACACAATAATATGCATATAATATGAATAAACATGTGCCATTTGGTTTTATATGATGATGATATGCAAATCGGTAGTATTATTGTTCCAATTGTTGTCAACTGTTTATGGTAGATTTTATATTTATGGCAATGGCCATCATTTTGATGATATTTTTGTTGATTTTTCATACTTTGAAAATGTAAATTGTTTTTAATTCCGTATTATTACTCATTATCACTGGTGTTTGTTATTATTATTATTATTATTGGACTATTGATTGATTACAAAACAAACATCCATTAATGGCGTTTGATACACACACGATAAATACCGTTAGTTTTTTTTTCTGCAAACAAAAAATTTTTAAATTATTCAAAATAAATAAACAAATTCTGCTGCCAATTTGTTTTTGGATTTTTTTTTTTTCTTTGCTTTTGTACGTTTCAATGTGGCTATTAAGCTACAGATAATTGATCACTTGGCATTCATTTTTGGACTTTGACTTTTGAATTTTCACCAACCATCAAGAATCATGTTTGATCTTTCGACCCTTACAAAGCAACACATTCACACACACACACACACACAATCCAAAAACAAAACAAGGCAAGACATTTTTTCTATCTGTCTGTTTTATTTTTGGAATCAAAAATAAAGAAAAAAAAACGTGAACAAAAATTCATTTCATTTGATTGATAGAGTGCAACTTGCATGGAAAATTGTGAACCAAAAAAAAAACACTGAACACAGAATATTATTTGTCAGCAATATCAAATTCATTAGTCATTTTTCATTTCATTTTGAAATTTGTTTTTTTTCATATTCAGAATTTTCATTTCATAAGTTTTTTTTTTGTTTTTTGAATGAAGATAAAAGAAATATTATGAATTGCATGTTAAAAAAAAAGCTGTTAATCACTTTATTATGATGATGATGATGATGATGATGGTTGTTGTTGTTGTTGTTGTTATTGTCATTTATAATCTACTCCTACGACAATTAACAATATATACATCCTAAAATAAAAAAAAAAAAAAAATAAACTATCCACTGTAGTGATAATTATATTCCATAGTTTCCATGTTGTTGTAGATTTTTGTTTTTTTGTTTGTTGTTGTTGTTGTTGTTGTTGTTGCTGTTGTTGTTGTTGTTCTAAAAAATCTCATATAATGTAAACACCTCCCTATTTAGTGTTAAATATTTGATAAATAAATAAATAAATGAAAAAAACTTGGCAATGATTAATGATGATGATTGCGCATCTAATAAAAGTGGATGTCAAACAAAACAAAAAAAAACGAAATTTTTCCATTTCTTCTTCATGATGAAAAAAAATTGTCCAGAGTTTATGATCGATAACGAATTAGTGTTTTATATATTGCAGATTATTACAATCCACAATGTCCAAATGTTTTTTTTTTTTTGGTTTTACAAATTGTTTGTATTTTATAAACACTTGAAATTTGAATCAATTCAATATAAAATGATAATAATTTATCAATAAAATCAAAAACGAAACTTTCATTTTGTTGTTATCCACGGTAATTTTTTGATTCTTTTTATACATGGCTACTACAGTTTAATTGTTTGAATTGGTTCATTCATGATGATTATAGCTCATACACACACACCCGGACTAAACAAGCCACTTGAAGTTTTAGATTTTGTTTTTTTGTTCTGTTACGAATAACATTTTTTCCATGAAAATAGTGATGAAAAAAATAAAAAATTGATACTTGGCCATTATGTATTGTTAAACTAGGTAGAAGTTTGTAGTTTTCCTTTTTTTTTCACCACCACCACCACTACTACTACTACATTATTTAAGTGTATCGTTATCGATTATTATTATTATCGTTATTAATAATGAAACGCTATCATCATCATCATCATCGTTGAGTGTTGATTTGAAGTGTTCTTTTTTTTCATTATAAATTGCAAACACACAGACATAAATAATAATAAAAAAATGGGTACTTGTAAGTGTTTAGATCCAGAAAATTTCGGTTTCGGTTTCTCTTTTTTCTCTCTCAATGAATTGTTTGTTTGTTTCGATACTTTCAATCAATACAATACAACAACTTTGACTGGACAATAATGATATTGATGATGATGATGATGATGACAAGAGCAATTTATATCGATTCAATTGTGAATTGAATTATGAGTGAAAAAAAAGACTCGAAATGAACGGAAAAATGTTTGAATAACTTTGTTTCATTGAGATTCATTCTGTATTTTTTTTCTCATTTTGGTTTTTCATCATAGTTTGGACATTCAGTCAAACATTTTCAACACCATGTCTTCACGATTGGGATAAGCTAATAATAATAATCATCATCATCATAATCATTGCCTGGGCAACATTTTGTTACTTGGCAACGTATCTGTAGAATTGTATAAATTATTCGACTGTCTCAGGTGTTAGAATACATCTTCAAGTGTATATGCTGGTGCTGTTTTTTTTTGAATTTTTCAATTGTAAATTCACAATTCAATCTCGGTTGTGTGTGTGTGTGAATGAATGAATCAGTGAATCAATGGATTAAAATTGTTTGTATCTTCCATATAGAAACAAATGGTGTGAATTGAAATAAAGTGAAAATGAGAATATTACAAAATAAATAAATGAATGAAATGAAGTGATTCACAAATTTTCTCCATTACCACCAACATATTTGGCTTTTGTCACATTTATTATTTACTAAATGTCCATAATTTTGGTCAATTTATTTGATTGATTGATTGCATGATTGATTACCAACCACACACACACACACACACACCAGTTAATTTTGCCTCTTCAGGGGGTTCAGATTTTGGTCCCATGAGTGTCATTAACACACACACACACATGGAGAAAAAAAAACGGCTGGACACTTAATATCACTCTCCAATAATAACAACAAAAACGAAAAAAAACATTTACCGCCACAATATAAACTTGCGGAAAATTTCCCAAGAATATATTGGTCATTCATTCATTTATTTATTTAAATGTAAAATTCGTTTCTCTTCTGAACGATTATTATTTGTATTGAGGAAAAAATTAATAAATACTAAGCGGCACACGTAAAAATTCAAACAGAAAATAAAACAACACACCTTTCCACCCACACACACACACACACACAC